ATTTTCTCAATTTTCTCGTAGTAGCAAAGAGCCTCTTTTCTGCAATATGCCAGTTAGAGGGAATATCAGGAGGGAATTTTAGAGCCCAAGGTAAACTCACGCAATATCTACCATCTCCGGTTCTGCGAAGGCCCCTAAGAAACTGCTCTTTCGCTGCTTGATCTTCTGCGACCCTGGAAATGCTTTGCGCATCATCTGCAATGCCGATAGTTTCTAACTTCCACATAAAGGAAGGTTCCATGTCTTGAATAAGAAGATTAGTTACTAACATAGATGGGGTACCCTCAAAACTTTGGATAATCGTTCCTTTTCGATTCCCCGCACAGCGTCCATCCCAGTTTAGTATTTATGGCTGTCAAACCACCCTCAAGCTGAATTACTTCACCAGTAAGTATTTGCCCATAAATATCACTCCCTATGAGGATTTCTATTTCCGGGTGACCCTCACCGACATCTGAAATCCAAATTCTGTGTCTTTTTAATTCCTTCAATAACGGTCCTTTAGGTATGCGTGGTATGCCTCCACAAATGGTATTTTGATCCAGAAAACTAAATTGGTACACTTTGTTTTTCCCAACCGGGCTTAGACCTATAGAATATCTCTTGTGAATTTTTGACTCAGTCCTTGTTCCGCCAAATAACGCGTGAGTTAAAGTCTCAGAGGAAGTGCTTTTCAAATTTAAAGCTTCAACTGTGGATTGTAAAATGTAAGATCGTTGGGATCCACAATCCAAGAGGCACCTGACCACCTTCTTTACATTACCTACAACTATTTCAACCATTAACGTCATAAGAGTGACTTCATTCATACATAAGGGAGAGGACATTGTACTTTGTACCATTACTGACTCGTTTCATTTTCCCTTATTGTAAGCATTGTTTTCATTGTTTAATGTAAGCATTGTTCTGTTACCTCCGGGCATAAAATTATAGGGTGAGATCGCCTACACAAATAGCATTGAATAAACTGTGGACACTTCTTCGCAAAACGCCCTGGTTTAAGACAGCGGAGGCAGCATTTTAATTCTCTTAATTTGTCTAATCTTTCCTTTAAGCTCATAGATCGAGCTGTAAAACATTCTTTGCTTTCGTGAGATTTTCCGCAAAAAAACACATTTTTGTTCTTTGACAGCAACTAGACTTGCTGCGCTAGCGATTGGTTTTTTGGTCTTAACTTTTACATCTTTAGAATGTTCATTGCGCGAAGTAGAAGAAATTTCAAATCCAGACCTGGCTAGTTTAACTCTCTGCTCTCCTTCGACCTCTTTACGCAAAAATTCCAGGAGATTTGTGAGACGTGATCCTTCTTTACTGAACAAAACGCTTCTCTGCCATACTCGAAGCATCTCTGCAGACAGACAGACAAGACTCGACCATGGGATATAACCAGGAAACATTAGTATCCAGGGCTAAGCCTAAAGACTCTAGAGATCTGAGATGGGATTCGATTTTGTCAAACAGTGACACTAGCGGCAACCGATCCTTTCCCTTGTGAGCGTACATTTTGGATAATTAATTTTAACAATTCCCTCACATATATCTCAGTTAAAATTTCCTTGTTTCCAAAACGCTCCTCAAACGCAGAAATGGCTTTCGGGTAATTTTCAGCCGTTAAAGGATAACTATCTATCAAACTCACTAGCCCGAGTTCCGGGTAACATTGATTGAGCTAAATAATGGAATTTGTCAACGTCATTAAGCTCCTTATCCTCATGGATCTTTTAAATTGACCCCAAAATGTAAGGTAACTTAATAATTGTCCATCGAATTTTTTAATTTGAATTTTCGGCAACTTGTACCGTTTTTCATTAGAAGCACTTATGCTACTATCCGTGTTAGAACTCGTATTGACACTACGGTCAACCGCATTATCTATATTCTCTTTCACCCGACGATTAAGCGTGATAAACTCATCTGAATATTCTTCGCAGCCTATGACCTCTGTTTCCAGATCATCTTCAGCGGCTTTTCCCTTAATCATTGAATCTAGTATTTCTGAATCGCAAGATCTCAACTCAGCAATTATCATCTGCAACTTCAAAATTTTGTCTTTCAATACATCTCTATCTGCTTGAACATCTTTACAAAGTTCGGTTTTTAGAATCTTAGCCGTCCTAGTAAAGGAACTGCGTGCCGTTGCACGCTTTTTCTTCAACATATCAACATCCATTTTATCTTTAAATGCAGACCCACTTAAAACTCAAAATCTGTAATGTTATCATCAATCCGATAAATCCTCAAAAACGTCTTTGCTCAGCAATTCCAAAAATATAACTCAATATAATAAAAATGAATAACAATATGTCATAACATTCATAATACAGCAAAACAAAATTATTTTGAATATCACAGCAGAAGATTTAACGCATAACCTTTTCTACGTTTACACTGCAGACGATTTAACGCATAACATTCCGATTGAAAATTGAAACTAATTCGAATACAAATACGAAATTCAACATTGCAGACGATAAAAACGCATTACGTTTCCAAATAACACTTAAATTACTATTTACTTCTACAATAATATAATATAGCAAACACAATACTTTCTCAACTATATTAATATAATAATCCCAACACATTCGAATCAGGATTGCAATCCTGGCAAGCTCGCCATTTTGTTATGTCGTGGAGCAAAAACAATTTTACTTTATACCTGACTGCCACTGGCTCCGACGTAGCAATGTGGATACTCTACATCTAAAATTTTAAAACACCATTCCAGAATTTTAAATGTTTATTTAATAGAATTCTATTCGTATATTTGCAAGTTATACACTATAAACACAATAAACAAAATTTGAACTTATCTGCACCAGCGTGAATAAGCCTGGCATAATATTCTGAACTCGACACAACTTTAGCAGGAAAAATACCGCAAATTCAAACACAAGGTTTCATCCTTTCCAACGCAGCTAATTTTCTAAATATATTTTACTAATATCCGCAGCGGGACAGCGGATTCATTTCATTCACCCAAAACTCAAATGTTTTTACGCAATAGTATCGCAAAGGAAAACGTCGACTCAAAATCAAAATATTAAAATCTATAGAATATCATCCACTGTTGCCATTCCAGTACTGCCAAGTTTTTCTTCCTGCAGCTGTTGCCAGACTTATCCTCGCTGTATGATGAGAGGTACAACATTATTAAAGTTTTGGCACATCTCTTTGGAATTTAACAAGGAAACATACATTTCCCTCTAGATTTCTCCAACCTCCCCCTTTTTTATTCTGTCTTTATTGTACTTTTCATTTAATGAACAGATTTTCATTAGTCTATAATTTTTCCAGGTCTACATTGAAACCAGGCATGTAGCTTTTTTTACATACTTGTTCCAATTAGTACTGCTTTTTAATTCATATTTATGTCTGTTGCTTCATCTTATGGAAACTAGTTCTTGAGCTCAACAGTATATAAAGCACAGAGCAGTAAGAAAGGGAATCCTGAAACTACGAAACCAGTTATTGGCCCGATGATCTTTTTTTTAATCCCCCTGGAGGTTTTGGCATTACATCTCTGAATACTTTTGCTTCCATATAAGTAACATCATTTGGTAGCCACTTTTACATTTTCACTCAGTATGCAAAATTCTATGTTGTTGGAAGAAAACCACTGCTTCTTTCTCAGTTGATGGTGAGTTAAATATAGTTAACATTTTGGAAGAAAAATTAATAATGAATAATTTGAAAGGACAAATGATATTATGTATTTAATACTTATTTTCAAACTAATGAAAAATTAGAAGTTGTCTGATATTATGTGGTCAGAATAAATTTGTGAAAATCAAGACAAAAAAAAGTTACTTTTCCATTTGCTGGTGCAGGCGATAAAGTCGCCAAAAATTGTACAACCTATGCCAAACAGAATATCTTCACTGGTGACTTTTTACACCTCATTTTCAAAACAAATCACAGCCATTTCTTATCAGATTGATTGTTTCTTTCCATACTGGCATACAAATACATAGAATTTTTACCAAATAGTTCAATTTTATGCTCTAAGGCCATTCACGGTAAGTCAATTAAGATGCAATCACACTGCACATCCGAAGGCGAAAATATAGAAAAGGCAAGTAAAGGGTTAAATTCATCAATTCTAATGAGAATGCACTAGCAAAGTAAAGCACTGCAGTTTTACATAATTTCTGAGTAAGTTATTCGTGTGAATTAAAATTATTCTTGCATTTTAACTTCTATTGCATATTAAGATTTAACTTGAAATGAATGTAGATAATTAGATTTTTGTAGCGTAGTTTATGCGAGATGAGATCTCTTGGGGTCATGTGATATGAACTGGTGAATCAGGATGCTGTACCATGAAAGCATAGAAAATTCTTAAAATGATGTCTTTTTACAAAATTATAAATGACATTAAAATGTTTAGCCTTCAAAATAAAAAATTCTTAGAATTTACATTTGTTAATATTTTTTATGTGTATGCTGTGTGTTGTCACCAATAAAATCTGCTTGAGATTTGCACTGGCAAAACGGAAAAGTACCAAAAAAAGAAATACTGTCCCCCCCCATTGATTTTAAGTTAAAAATGCTGAACATTTTAGAGGGAAAAAGTACTGAATCGATGATGTTATGTAGGCAATTGGCTAATGTGCATATTTTAATCCTGAAGTACCCTAATATCACTTATGTGTGCAAAGTTAAGTAACATATCTTATGTAGAGGTATTTTTAAAGTATTTGTCTTTAATTTGCAAGATGTGAGGAAATATGTTGAAGCAGCAGATTACATGTAATGTAAATACTGACTTCAAATAAAATTCTTAAAAAAAAAAAAAAAAAAAAAAAATCATATGCTGACTTAAGTATGTCCCCACTATATGCAACTTAGGAATTCTGGCCTAAAGGTGCTGGCATTGCTGTGGAAGTGTAAAAGTGCTGGCGTATTTTTGCTGAGGTAGTAGTTTGCACTTGATTTCTCATTATGACAATATTCACTTCACTTATCTATGATATCTGACTTAAAAGTATGTTTTGCAGATAACAATGGGTGATCGTAAAAGAAATAAGAGAGATCAGGGACCTCCTCCAAGGTGGTTACATTGTCCAAGAAAAGGATCTCTTATTGCTGGTATGTTCTACTTTCTTCATTTTCTCTCCTTTAGCTATTATCTATTGATCAGTTTTATCTTAATGCAGTTATTTCCCCTTCCTTAAATTTATATTTAAAATGAATTATTATTATAAAAATAAATATATAATAAGAGTTCATTTGTGTTCACATTCAAATTTCACTTTTGAGCACAGTTTAGGTGGATTGTAACTCTTCACTTAACCTAATTTCTTAGTTTAATTCTTTTTCCACCTGAAATTTATATGAAAACAGAACTATTTATACAGTCAAAAGTCGTTAATTCGGACACCCATAATTCGGAATGATCTATAATCCGGACCTCAAAACTAAAAACTTTCTGCGCATGCGCCGCGTTGACACATGCGCAGAGGCATTTACGCGTGCGCGTAAGACCTTTTACGACTGCGCATATGAGTGTGCGCAAGTGCAGAATACGTTTTCGCGTGCGCATTTTATGTATAATAGACGTATAAGCTAAAATTACCTAATTATCTATTTCAGTTAATGTTGATGATTGCGTTGTTCCTTAATTTTCGAATTGCATCCAGCTTATTATTTTTTGCAGACTGTAAGAGCAATTTTATAAAAGTAAGCTTAAACTTTCGATTATATCAAATAGAATTTCCGATATATATTTGTTAATATGTAAAGGATCTAAAGCGAAAGTATGTTTTAAAATCCGAAATCTGTTTATCAATTTCACGCTGCTCGGCGGGGGGAACGCCACGGCGGGCGGGTGTAATGAATTGGAAGTTGATTTTGTCAGCACTATCCTTATCTTCAGCGCAGATGTTTTTTATTTTATTTGGCTTATAATTCCTTACCAAATGTAGTATTTCATCTCGATATGCTCTGTCTTTGATATGATTTAAAACAAGTTCCTCCTCATTATAATTCGCTTCCCATAGCGAAGAAAAGTGACAGAGGTTATTGAAAACGAAAAAATTTCGATTGACAAATTAGTCGGTGTTCTTGACACAGCAATTATAGGACTTGAACGGTGGAACTTTGTAACTGAACAAGAAATTATGTCTGTTTAATAGAATTAAAGAGAAAGTATTATCGCATGAAACGAAGCAAAACTTAAACAACTTACATTGAAAGAAATGTTTAATAAAGTAAACAAATAAATATTAAGCTTTTTCTTTTTGCAAATTTTGATGCCCTTTAGATCATAATTGTTCTTTATTTCATAAATTACGGTTTCATATTTTTAATTTTAGAATTTCTGCATGCCATCTTACGAGATTTAAACTGATGATCTATAATCCGGAATCGCCGAAGTCCCGACGAGTCCGGATTAACGACTTTTGACTGTATTAAATAATAATGAGAAGACAATTTGTGTTCACCTCATATTCAAGTTTTACTTTTGAATACAAATAGGTTAACTCTTCATTTAACCTTCTCTCTTAGATACATAAGCTCTGGAAATGTGGCAAGACTTACATAGTAAAGTTGATACTAAAATTATTTATCAACAGCAGCTTAAAAAGTGAATAATAAAATAAGAGTACAAAATATGGTAAAGAAAATGAAATTACATTAAATACTGACTGAGAATAGTAGGTGAAGTGTTCATTGATGTCCAGATAACACATTGATGAAAGTATAGTCTCAATAGCAGCATAAAAAGTTATTTTCAATTTCTTTAGCTATATAGTTTTTTTATGGGTACTCTTCTGTTATGAAGACCAGATTCCAAAATGTTTATTTTAATGGCTGTATGTATGGATGGATAGATGTGTTCTTGTATGTGTTATTTTCAATTTCTTTAGAAATTTAAATTTTTATGTTGCTTTGTTCATAAATGTGTGCATATTATTTTAATATAAAACAATAAAACATGCTAGTAAATGCTGCCAGCTCAATATCAAAATCACAAATCTGCATTTTTCTGTGGTTCTCTTCAATATTAATATCTTTTGATAGATATTTTCAAAACTGCCAATTTTTATGCATTTTTGCAGATTATGGAGTCTTCCTATTTTTAATTTTTAGCTTTGTGCCAACAATAAATGAAATTTAATGAACTACTGAAGCTTAAATTGTGTGAATTGCATCCCCATTCCTTTTGATTATTAGTATTTTTTAGTCCAAAGGGGCATTGTCCCTGAAGGACTATTGTTTTCGTTTTGCCATTTTGCGTCAGAACCCTATAAACAGCATATCACTTTTTAAATCATTGCCGCCAAATACTAGCACCCTGTATTATATTTGAAGAAATTAAATAATTAAGAATCTGCATAAATGTATGTATGTTTCTCGCATTGTGATAAACAACAGTACTTAGAGCCATTCAATTTTCAATGACGTAATCCTACTGCGAATATGGGTAACATCTGAAAGCCCAAATTTGAAATTTGGAATTTCTTTTATTATCGATTTCATATTTTGTAAAACTTTAACGAATTTTTTATTAACAAACTCGACGATTTAAAATCGAGCAACGGCAACACTCTACGGGGGGAGGAGGGGAGAGGCTTTTTTTCTCCAGTGTGCGGAACTGTGTATCGGAAATTCTAAAGATGTGCTCATTTTAAATTTTTTTTGCGGTATTTCTGTTGAACTGAATTTTATGGTTTAAATGCAAAGAACATGATGTTTAATAAATAAACACACAAAATGTTAAAAAAAGGCCCCTTTGGACGTAATTTAAAATCTGAAACCTTTCAGATTTTTGTTTTTGTTTATTAAATTTTATTTGATCTGAATCTTGTGGTTGTCTTATGTTCAGCGGCGTGGGCCACTAGCTGATATCACATTGTTTCGTAATAGCTGCTGCCCACACCACTGGCTGACCCCACACATTGCTTTTCTGTAAAATTCGAGTATCGTTTAGTAGCTACTGTGTTTTTATGAAATAGTTGTGTTGAAAAGTTGATTGTTTAAGCACCAGGATTAGCAACATATGTGAAATTTTTAGGATGATTCAGCCAATAGTTAAAAAATGGAAATAAATGTAATCAGTTATTATTTGTATTTAATTTTGCTTTACATCAATAATTGGTACATTACGATGTTTAACCACACAGTAGTAGCTACGTTAATTTAACTTTCATTGTATTTTAAAGTACTTATGCTTAATAAAAGCTTATTTTCCCTACTAAGAATTTTCTGGATATAAAATGCAAGAAAATTATAAAATGAAATTAGCCAAAGAACATAATATTTAGAATATGTAATTAGTTAGTAATACATTTTACATCAAAATCATGTTATAAATGGTTCAGTAAGCTGATTCATATATTATAAAATGAATTTAAATCAATTTGACTCTTTTTAAAATGGCATATTGCACAACAACCTTCCCCAAAACTCCCAGTTTTATTATAAGAAACCCCTCTGGAAAGTAAAATGTGCATGGAAAAGATTTAATATGGTCTGGACATGTGTATTTAGCAATATTAACTGAGAATTAAGTTATACATTATAGATTTAGGTGATTAATTTTGGAAGCTAATTGTTATAGCTACTTTAATAAGAAAGTACCAAGAATTGTTATTTGGAAATCATAATTTAATTAAAATAATATATACAGTCAAATACCGAAAATCCGCCGACCTGAAATCCGCCAACTCCTGAAATCTGCGTTGCCTCTCAGAATATAAACATTCAGTTTATAGGTTCCGGAAACCGCAACATTGAGTATGAAATATTGAAAAAAAAAATACTTACTGAATAAATGACGTCATAATTACTGAATAATAACAAGTCAAAATGGAAATAACAAATTATTGACATAAAAAAGTTTAAAAAAATAAGATAAAATAAATAAGATAAGTTTCTTTTTCCTTCTAATCTGCATTGAGGTAAAAAAGCAGACTATTCACTCAACTCTTTGTTCAAGTTCACGATTCACGTTGTTGTATTTTCTGAGCTTTGTTATTTCATTTCACGAGATTGTTTAGTGCTGCCTTTTTTTTATCCGGATATTTTGTGGATAAATTAAGAATATTTTTAGTTTCAGCCCTTTTTCATACAATGACAGATAAGAAATGCACTCGTGATTTTACTGCTTGCAACGTTGAAAAACGTAAACATGTTGAATTGACGGTAATGCAAAAAGTGCAAATTCTGCAAAAGATGGAAGCAGGTGCTATGGCTCGATTCATAGCAGAATGGTATGGAATTGCGACACCGAATTGTGTATAGATATACGGAAAAAAAAAAAATAAAGAAAAGCTGTTTGAAATTTTACAGCAACAGTGATTCTAACACCCAGAATCCGAAACCAGAAATCTTTGCATGAGGCGAAAATCGGCAAATCCTCGAATGCTGTGTGCATATAATACATTGAATAATATAATCAATTTTATATATGTAATAATAATTTAATGCATATGATAACTTATTGCAATAATGTATATAATAATTTAATTAAATATATCTAATATGCCTTATTCATTTTGCACTTTTAGTCCGAATATTATGCTTTATCTTTTCTGTCCTGAAATCTGCAAAATCCTAAAATCCGCACAACTTCTGGTCCCAAGCTTCTCGGATTTCTGGAATTTTACTTTATTGGCATATATTATATCATGATCCCTCTTGCCCCAAAATCGGGCTTTTGATTTGCTGTCAACAATAGAGCAATAGTTGCTGATCGCACTATAAGACTGCATCAATATTTTCTCTGACTGGGCTGTCTAAAGCTAATAATTGTGGGTATACTTCCTTGTTAAAATGGCCACTGCACCTAGTCAACAAAACTGGAAAATTTAACAGTCCATTCTGTGAAGTGAAAATGTCAGATGTCAACAAAGGTTTATGCAGTGACTGCTTTAGCAAGGAAACACCTCAATTTTTTTTTTATATAAAATCAGTGATATTTAAATTGAAATATTATTTAGCACTTTTTTGGTGAAGATTGATGAGAGATTTGGCATTTTTCAGTTTTTATAATTTTCAGAATAAAGAGTTTGGTGAATCGTTTGTGTATGGATACTAGTTTTTACAAGTTTATGTATAAGTTTTGACTACAGTTGGAGAAATTTTTAATTTGTCATCATTTTATCTTTGAAGAGTTTTTTTTTTTTCTTTAACAGCTGAGCACCTGTTAGTTAAACTTTCATTGGAAAATTTGTAATCCTGCCCAACAACTGGGCACTTGCTAGTTAATTTTTCGACCAAAAATTTGGATTCCAATGCCTCTTCTTGTGACACCAATTTCTTTCAGCTGAACAGTATTTTAAGTGGCCAATGCTGTAATTTATACACTTAGAAACGTATGTTCCTTCTCTGAGGTTGAGGGCCCAGCGGCCGAGCGGTAAAGTCGCTGAACACTGGTAGTTCGGTCCGAGGTTCGAATCCCGCGAACGGGCTGGCTGCATGGGCGTTTTCGTGGTTTTCCCCATGTGTAACGTGTATACGAGCCAGTTTCCCTTAGAAAGTCCTCCACGAAAGGCACCCCTCCTCTTAGGCAGATAGCCCTAGTGTGCTTCGCCATAATTAAATACACCACCACACCATCTCTGAGGTTGAACTCAAGGCCAAGGCTAAGGCAGATGCTACCCTACTGCCATGACATTTGTATACAATTAAATTATATACTGTTGTCAATAAAAATAATTTGTAAATACTGTGATATTATCTGCTGTACCTGGTTTTATTCCCTGCATTTTGTTTTGGTTTTCATATTTTGTTTTGGTTGCGTAGAAATTTATTTCATTCTGATGATGCGTAATAGTAATTTTTTATCATTTCACATGCACACTCATATCTGTAATATATGAACATAAATCAGTGGCCGTAGGTTTAAATGAAAGACAATATTCAATCACAGAATGCTGTTAAGTTTAAATATGAGTTTTAATGTAAATAAACTTCATCTTCTTAAGGCACACTTAAACTGTAACACCTGGTTAACTTGGAGTTGACCTTAACTGTATTCTGTGACTCTATATTTTCTTTCTTTTAAACCTATGGCCACTGATGTTCACTTCTTAGAGATATGTATGTGTGTGTGTGTGTGTGTGTGTGTGTGTGTGTGTAAATATATATATATTTACACACACACAGATTATAGGTATAGCAGATTTGATAAATAGGTATAGCAGATTTGATAAATGCAACTGTAAGACATGATAGAACATGGCAGAAGTAACAACTTTCATAATACATAGTGTGTTGAAATGTGAATAGGAAACTACTAAAATACTATTTTAGTCAATTATATAATAATTTTAGTCATACTAAAATTTAATATTCATTGAATATTTTCTTGTTAGATAAATTCATTCCTTTCAAAACTCCATTGGATGAAAGGTATGACTCCCAGGTTCCTGAAGAATGCACATTTACACCATCAATGTTTATTGCCTCCTTGTCTAGCTATAAGGTCAGAGATTATTATTGTTATTATTATTACTTTAACTCTTTATTTGTCATGCAATTGAAATATGGATTTATTTTTTGTTTTATGATATTTATATATTATGCAGTTAAAGCTTGGTTTGTGGATTGATTTAACGAATACGACTCGATTTTATAATAAGAATGAAATTGAAGATCATGGAATAAAGTATGTCAAACTCCAGTGTCGAGGGTATGTTATTTATCATTTAGGCTTGAAATTCTTTTCAAGTGTTTTTCATTTATTTTGAATTTTATGAAAGTTTTGTACCACTTTCTGCTTGTAGTACCTTAGTAATATTGTTAATGTTAATTAATCTTTTCTGACAAGTGATCATAATTTTTATTTTTTAGCAGCACAGTGTAATTATTCTGGAAAAACATCTGTATATATTGGTAATGGAAAATCATATATGTTGCAAATCTTTTCCTTACATTGCATATCTGTTTTAAGGCAGCAAATTTTAAAATTTTTTTTGTTAAAATTATTAGAAAATCTCATTTTATACATTTCTAAGGCAACTATGTGAATATTATGTAGAGTGAATGTAACAGGTCTTACTTTTTAGTGATTAGAATGACACTCTATTAACTGGTACTACTTTAAAGTGTTCAGTTTAAATTTTTTATATTAAAATGCCTTGTGTATGTGTGTGTGCGAGTGAGTGAGAGAAAAAAGAAAAGGAAACTACTAACTTTAATTTAGCAATAATCTTTTAATTTGGCTACAACCCTTTCCTGGAATCTAAAATACGTCATATGGAAGACTAATCTGCATATATCATCATATTTATCTTGCAATGTGGTAGACTCTTGTCAAATCACAATCGAAAATTTAAACAAAGAAGTCGACTAAGTACCCTTTGCTGAAATGCACACTCATTTTTCCTGCCTTCCTATTACAGTGCTAATGTATGTTGCTTACTTCTCCACTTAGTGATGCGATTCATTATATAAAAGTATGGAGAGTGTTTATCTTGCCCAAAATGGTGTATGTTTGAGAATATGTGTCCTAAAAAATTATTCGTCAAGAAGTAAAATTATGTTATGAATCTACAGTTACTTTTGATCTCCAAATTTCATCCTTCTATAACAAAACCTATAACTATCTCAGGCATGACTAAAAATATATATATATATGTATAATAATGTTTTAAGATGTTTGACATTTATAATAACTAATAATAAATCTCAAAACATCCTTATTATATACATATACTGTACAAAGTCAGAGATCTGGACTCGTCGGGACTTCCACGATTTCGGATTTGGAATTTTTCCGGATATTAGATAATCAGTTTAAATCTAGTAAGATGGCATGTAGAAATTATAAAATTTAAAATATTAAATGGTAATTTCTGAAATAAATGCTTCAAAATTACAAAAAAGAGGTATCAAAAATTACAAAAAAAAAAAAAAAAAAAAAAAAGGCTTAATATTTATTTGTTTACTTATTAAACATTTCTTTCAATGTAAGTTGTTTAAATTGCTTCATTTTTTGTGCTAATTCTTTCTCTTTAATTCTGCAGACAGATATAATTTCTTTTTTAGTTACATTGCTGAAGTCCTGTAATTGCTGTGTCAAAAATTTCAACTAACTTGTCAATCGAATTTTTTTCATTTTCAGTAAACTCTGTCACTTTCTTCACTATCAGTGGTACTACTTTCTGGATATAGAACCATGCTAGAGTTTTTGCCATCCATTAATTGATTGATGATTGAGGACCATTGTAATCACAATGAAAAACTTCTTTCATATCATCTTCATTTATTACTGCTTCTCCACATTCCTTTGTAAAATTCTTTAATTAAAAAATTTCACCTTTGGATTGTGATATCCAAAAACCTTTAAAATTCGCGGCTGTGATCATAAAGTTTAGCTATCGTTCACTATACATATTTGGCTATGCATCATGAGATTGACGACTAAAGACAAGTTGCTCCATTAAATTTTATCTGGCTTCTATTGCGCTCTGAGACAATTAAGCCTTAATTGTATTAGTTTAGTTATTTATTATACTTGTGTCTATTTCATGCACATGCTGAAGGCTAAGTGCTGAATAAATAAGTTCCCAACTATACTTAAGCCTTATTGAGGGTTGGTGCTAGGTATCTTAACCACCTGATGCAGTCTCCTGTGAGTCCTAAATTCTGCTACCAAGTGCCTCCTTTTGTCTTCCTAAATTCTGCCGCCCGGTGTGGCTGTACAAGCCCTGGCACTGGTTCTGGGTTTATGTCAGGGGTTCTCAACTAGTGGTATGCAAGAGAAAAATAGGTAGTACGCGAAGAAACAAAGTATTTTTAACTATTAAATTTAAAAATTAAAACCCCAACATCCTGATTGAGTTTTCTCTCTAACAATCATAAATTTATGCGATCTGACCTTTGTTCAAGAGTGGTAGTGCTTTCTAGTGGTGGTACTACACGTTTTCAATTTTTGCTTAGATGGTACGCATTAGACAAAAGGTTGAGAACCACTGGTTTATGTGAATAACAAAACAACTATTCTTAATTCAAATAGCTCTAAATGTAATCATTTGGCCTATGAGTATCATTAAGAAAATCTATTTTTAGCATATGGAAAGAAATTTTTGTTAAAATTTTCCTCGTCAACATTTCTTGCACATTTAACTTAAATCTGTAATTATCGCCAAGATTAATATCAATGTAAAAGGTTACCATACTCTTTATTATTTGATTACTAACATAAAAAACTTTTTAGGCTTCGCTACATGAGTCATTACTCAAGTTGTCATGTGTTGATAAATATGGGTTGAGGAAGGCAAAATATATTAAATAATTATTCTCCATGTTGGCATCAGGGATGTAAAATATTAATAGGTGTAAAATAAACAATGTATCTATGTACGAGGGTTGGAACTTTAATAGTGGCAATACAGCTGAAAAAACGCTACGCAACAAAACCAAAGATTATTGCATATACCACACATAAACTACATACCTACCTTACCTCTCAGCAAAAAGACTCGTCCTGCCTACGTCACGCGCATGCGGAATGACACGAAGAATGAATCCTTGTATTAGCTCGCGATCTAGGTAAGTGTTGTCAGGATGTTTTCAAAACAAGAACAACGAAGTTGGATAAAAATTGAATGTGCCAGAGGTTGTATAGCACGACAGTGTCATCAAGGGCTTCAAGAGGCTTGCGGGGAATCTGCATTGCTGTACAGAACCGTAGCAAGATGCGTGAAAGCATTCAATGAAGGACGCCAAAACGTGGCAGACATGCTGTGGCCAGGTCGTCCGAGTGTCAGCGATGCAGACGTGCAAGCTGTTGGCGCACTAATGGACAGTGATCGCCACCAAACGATTTGTCAGCTGGCCGGACAAACAAGATTAGCACATACGACTGTGCTGCACATTCTGAAGGAATGCCTGTTCATGAGAAAAATTGCTTCACGATGGATTCCACATCAATTGACGGAAATACAGAAATGGCTTACGATACGATGCCGCTCGAACCCACTTGGAGGGCTATGAGCGCGAAGTGCTTTTTTACGCCGTATCATTATGCTGGATGAGACTTGGGCCCGATTGTACCAGCCAAAGCTGAAACGCCAATCAAACGAATGGCGTCATCTCGGGTCACCACGACGTTCGAAATTTCGTCAGAACCCCAGCAATGTGAAAGTTATGGTGATTCTTGTGTATGACTGTGATGGTGTCATCCTAATGCATACAATTCCCCCACAGCAGACCATCACTGCGCAGTATTACTGCTTATTTTTGGAGCACAATCTCCGACCAGCTTTGAGAAAAAAACAGCAACACTTTCTGCAGAACGCTTCTCTCATTTTGCATGACAAGGCTTGGCCGCATGCAGCGCAAGCTGTGACTGATTTGTTCAAGCGATGGGGCTGGGAAGTGCTTTACCATCAACCATACTCCCCAGATCTAAGCCCTTGTGACTATGACTTAATTCCTAAGATGAAGGAACCACTTCGTGGCACTCGCTTCCAAACTGTTCCTGAGGTTCTTGCGGCAGTAGACCAGTCCATTCAAACTATCAACAAACAGGCGCTGCTACAGGTATTCTGCGACTTCCACATCGTTGGAAACGGGTTGTACACAGTGCTGGCGACTGACTATATTGAAGGACTGTAAAACATGGTGACATGAATCACTTTTGTATTCCTTGTAAATAAATAGTTGCCACTATTAAAATTCCAACCCTCGTAGAATGTTTCAGTTTGACATGTATACCAAGCAGATATAGATTGGAGCCAATTTCTTGATCATACAAATTTATGCAAAAATTATTGTTCCTTCAAGAATGAGGCATCCTATTTAGTGCCGAAGTGAAATTATGAATCCAGACTCACCACGTGTTTTATTATACTCTGGGAAGGGAATCAAATATAAATGCGTAAAGCATGCCAAAAAAAAAAAAAAAAAAAAAAAATTAAAGTTGTTGGTGTCATTGAGGTCTGGATGTTGGATGTCCGGATCTCGAACTTTGCACTGGATTACACTTGAGACATAATATTTTATCATTATACAGTTTCTTTGCTTATGTAAAATAAAGTAATCCTTAAGGAATGAAGGAATGCTTTTGAAAATCATTTTATCAGACATAATTTTGAAACTCAGTATTGTCATATTTGTGAGTTTAAAACTGAGAGTTGTTTGTGAGTTTTATCAGATATCTTGAAATCAGATTTCTTTTAATGTTTATTATTCCAGACATGGTGAATGTCCTTCTGTTGAACAGACAACCTTTTTTATTGAGATCTGCCAAAGGTTCATTTCTCGGAATCCTCTAGAAGTTATTGGTAATCTTTTTTAGATTTTTATATCTTATTTGTATTCTAATTGATCTTTACTGTGATAAGCTTTGTCCACTTCTAAGTGACACTGGTAATCTGCATGGGTTCTTATCCTGCTTGTTAGTTAGGCTTGATACATAATGATTTCATGGATTTTCTTGTGTGTGATCTAGATATAAGCCAGCTTCATACAGAAGCATCCCTGCTCTTAAATAAATAATGCTGATATGTTTTTTTAATATTAAAAAAACCAACATAATACTTAAATAATTTTGTTTATATTTATTTTTGAAGTTGCAAACTATGTTATTTCTTTGAGGTTATTTTTTTAAAAATATATTTATAGTTGTTTGTGGGTTGATCTAACATATTTGTACAGAGATGAATGTAAAAGTGTGCTTCATTTGGGGGAGAAAAAAATAATTTAATGTCATTTATTTGCTATTTATCATTTCATAAAATTGATATTTTTCGTTTTTTAAAATATTCTTTTGGACTGAATATAAGGCAACCTTACATGTAAGGTGACTTTGCACATATTAAAGTATAATTAAAAGAAAAAAATATGCATGTCAGAGAAAATTTGAACAAGTATTACAATACGATGGTTAAATGATCTAAATATCTTATCATTAGCTAAAAACTAAGTAACTGCATTTTCTTTTCAAGCCATAAATTATAGGATCAGCTTTCCTTTGGGGGGGGGCATTAAATTTACGATTTATTAGCTTGTCATTTTGATATCTTATTGAATTAATTAAAATATTTCATTCAGTTGTGAATTTATGTTTCATCATGGGATACATAAAAACAGATTTAGCTTGACTTTTTTTCATGTTGTCCTTATATTATAGTGTTATATAAATCAAAATAATTTTATTATTTAAAGGTGTCCATTGTACTCATGGTTTCAATCGCACAGGTTTCCTCATAATTGCATATTTAATTGAAAGTCTGTCATGGAGGTAAATATTTTGCATGTTGTTATTAAATGTGTATTTTCAGATGAAAACTTTTGATAACTCTTGTATTATTACTTGTATTATTCCTTTTCTAATATTTTTATTATACATACTGTATATTTGGTGTATATCATGCACCTATAATTTCAAACTCCATTTTTAAATTTTTAAGTATTTGCTGCATAATGCTTACCCCTTTCTTTAGGAAGAAACCTTAAAGATATATTTCCAATGCTCTTATCTTTTGGAGTCATTCATTTGAAGATTTTCCTCCGACTTTCTAATAATGGTATACTGAAATAACAAGCAATAAGGGGAGCAATATGTGTGTAGGCTAAATGCTTGAGGGAGTAAATAATTCTTCAAAGAGGGCAAGTTGTATTCAATGCAGCTGTGCACAAGATTGTTATTCTAGGGTTTTGAGAAAAGAGGGACATAATTTGGGATAAGTATGCATTTCCAACCTGCATGAATTTGTGGAATTAGGAGTCAAATGTTCCCTTTTAGCAGTATATATGGCTCCAGCCAAACGAGAGAAATACAGTGTGGTTTTAAATGCAAAGTCATTCCGTTTGTGAAAGAAATTGGAAAACATGTTGTGACGAGGATGGTTGGTGTTATAAAAAGCTCCATACGTGAGTGGAAGAAAAGTGAAACCACAATGATTAATGTATCAAAGAAAAAAAATTTCTCTGTGTAAATGTTTAAGGAAATTTCCTGTCCTAGAAGAAAGTGTCGCAAACTGAGTCTAAGAAAATAACTAGAATAGATTAATTGTTACAAGAAACAGCATATGTTTATTTACCTTGAGTAAAACCTTTACTTTATGAAAACTTTAAAAGTGGGTGAAGTCATTTATGACACAGTATAATTTAGTTGTATCAGGAAAAACAAGTTTTGCAGAGGCTTCCAGAAAATTTGGACAACAAACTGATAGGTTTCCAAAAGTATGTTATTGATCTACAAAAGCAAAAATCAAAAAAAAAAAAAAAGTAAATATGTATATATATTGTCACTTATAGGCATATGGATAATACTGCAGTAATGTGTGATATGATAGGAAATAAAACGATGTGAAAGAAACAGAAATTGTTCACATCAAAGCAACAGGTCATGAAAAATCTTACTTCACCATAGTGCTTTCCTGCTTAATAGGCGGTACAAAACTAAAACCCATGGTTATGTTTAAAAGAAAGATGATGTCAAAATGTGATTTCCCAAATGGTATTTTCATTCATTTTTCATGAAAAAGGCTGGATGGATGAAAACGGTATGAAATTGTGAATAAGAAATGTTTGGCAAAAGTGTCCTGTAGCCTTAAAGAATCCAGAGAGTCCTTTGATTTGGGACATGTTCAGATCCCATCTAATGGAAAATACAAAGGAATTGTTGAAAGAGTGTAAAACAAACATGGCAGTTATTACAGGCTTTAATGTCATTTTTTCATTCTTTAGATATTTATATCAATAAATCATTGAAGGAAAATTTAAAACAGTGAAATATTTAGATCTTAGAAGGTAAAAAACATTTGCCAAAGGAGAGCCAAATGTGTTATGCCAGTCTAGAAATAGTGTATGAGTGGATAATAAAAGCATGGAATGAAATAAAATCAGATTTAAAATAATATATTTGACAAGTTAGATAGAATGGAATATGATTATTTATTTATGGATCCAGACTAACAGTGATGGTGAAGATGAAACAGAATAGTATGATGTACTCGAAGCTATCATGAAAGTTAACTGTGAAGAATTTTCATGTTATCTGATAATGAAAAATTTTAAGACAACAAGGATGACATTTATTTTAAATAAACATTACTTAGGTACGTGTAGAAATCTAATTTTTATATGCCCATCTTTTCTGTATTTTTAAATCTTATCATTTTTATATTTAGTGCATAACACTCATCCATAAATTTTGATTTTATTTTTTGTATTAAAAGTGTGTGTTATATGCCAGAATATAATAGTATAGTCAACAAAATATTTTGAGTTGTCATAAGCAATTGAATTTTTACTGTTAAGCTTTAAATCAAATATGGGATACTTATTCACACATGCTTAACTTTGAAAGTCAAAATAAAAACACAGTATGTACTTGTCTTTTGTGTCAGCCTTGGTGAAAGAAAACATTGTTAGTACAAGTCAGGCTTTAGGTAGTATTATTTATTGTCAAATACCATAAACATTAAAGAATGCAAAATTGACAGTAAACAATAAACTGACAATGCATTCATATCTGTAAAACATAAGAAATTTTACATATTCATATAAAAGAATTCATTTTAGATTTGTATTTATTGTGGTATTTAAAATAAAACCACAATTCCATAGAACTTAATGTATAAATTATTCATTGTATATAACAATTATGTAAGCAAATTTTCAAAAAAAAAAAATCATATATAAACATTTATTTTCTACAGATTTTCCTGTTTGCCATAGTTCAACAGTTGCTGCTAATAATACCTCAAATACAAATTATATCTTCTTGTCCCATTAAAGGAATGTTAAAAATTGTAAGGAGATAATAAGCATTTTACAGCAAAACTATTATATATTAACACAATTGAATTACAAAGAACCAGATAGGTCAGTAATAATTCTTTCTTGCACATGTGCAGATCAATAATTGTCTCTGCTCAGTGCAGTAAAGTGCCAAATCCACTTTATCATCAAGGCTGCTACAGAACACAAGTATAAAACTGTGGAATATATACCATCTCTATAAAAGTTCTCATGCTGCCTTTATTTTTGCAACCATTGGCTAACGTATAATTCCAATTACAAAAATGCTTTAGGAAAAAACATTTTATGGAATTTTTTAAATACCAGTTTTGTAAAAATTATGAAATCTAATTTTTTATATGGCTCTCCAGCCCCTATAAATATATTTAGAAAAGTTTATACTCTTTCAAAAAAAAAAAAAAAAAAAAAAAAAAAAAAGAGCAGAAAATTTTTGACTCACAAATTAGAAAAATTGATGAAGATGAAAATTTTAAACTTTGAGATCATGTTCAGTAGTCATACGCATGTTGAAGAAAGAAGTGTTTACATTTATATAACTAGAAATGAAATACCGATTTAGAAAAAGATTTATATTTGCATAAACTAGAAATGAAAAATTTACTAATTTAATTCTTTGGAGGGATATGATTTATATCAAACTAATAAAACTGCATGAAAATACGAGGGTTGGGCAAAAGTCATGGCAACTATTTTTTTCTTGTAGATATGTGAACGGATCACAAAATGTATATGTGTCGTGTGGAAGTTCTGCAGGCATAGTATGTATGCAGAATAACAGATGGCTCTGTGATAGCTGGCTCTATGCTAGCGAGAGCTCTGAAATCAGTCAGGTAGTGAGTGTTGTGCAAGATGGAAAGTAACCCATGTTGAACAGCGCGCTTACATCATAATAGCCGTTCTCTGAGAGAGAAATGCGATGGAATGTCACAGTGAATTAGTAGAAGCCCTTGGTAATAATGCCCTACCATATTGTACAGTAGCACAGTGAGTAGGAAAGTTTCAGCAAGGACGTGTGTCAACCAGTGATGAGCAACGTTCGGGACGACCGGTGAGTGTATAGACCGACTTGCACCTGCCGTCATCAAGCACCTCATGGATGAAGACAGACGATGGACGTTACTAGAGTTAGAGAGTACAAGTGGCATCGAAACACGCACCGGATATTGCTCACAGGATATTGAGTAATGAGCTAGCATCAGAATCCTTCCCCAGTCAAATTGATGGTGATCGTCGCGTATGATGTTAGGGGTGTCATTGTTTGCCACTTCATTCCTCTTGACAGAACAGTGACCGCACAGTACTACAGGGACTTCCTGGTGCGACAGGTACGACGTGGCATTCGGGATAAACGTGCGGATCTTGTGGACTGCAATAATTCTGCACGACAATGCAAGACCACATAAAGCAGAGTGTGTATGGCAGCTACTCCGACATTGGGGATGGAAAGAATTGGAGCACCCACCAGTACTCTCCTGACCTTTTGCCCTGTGACTTTGATCTCATTCCCAAGATTAAGAAACCAATACGAGGTAAGCAGTTTGCAACACGAGAGGACATTGCTAATGCTGAGCGTCAGCAGATGACCCGATTTACACATGGTGCGGCAAATGCTGAGGCTGATGGTATTCAGCACCTCCATCGTTGGCAGCATGTGGTGACAATAGCAGGGAACTACATTGAGGGTCTTTAGGCTCAGGTTTGTCACGTCAACTTTATGTGTATTGTGTTATCATTCTTTTGCACGGTGAAGACCATATTGCCCTGTATACTACCATAATAAATTCATGTGTTACGATATTTCAGTGCTATTCATTGTTCACATATGTAGTTTAAGACCTTGTTCTTTCGTCTGTATATGTCGCATTTTCCAAACGGACTGGTATCTTCAAGAAAAAGAATAGTTGCCATGACTTTTGCCCCAACCTACGTATTAATAACATATTTTTAGCATTTGAAATTTTTCTTGTGTGAAAATTCTTTTGGTATACTGTAAGTTGTAAATTATTGATTAAAGAGTGTTACAAACCAGGAAATCACAAAAGAATATTACCAAGTGATATTAAAGAGGGAAAAATAAACCTTGAATTACTCTGACTTAACTTTTTAACTGATCACAAAAGAAAGCCCTCAAAAATATTCCACACATAAAAAACAAACTTTGAAATTAAATATTTTAGTCAATTTTTGTTACATCTAAGTCAAATTTGTTACTTTTTATTTTTTTAGAAATGAGTATAAATTCACATGAAATATGACTATAAATACCAGGGGATCATATAAAAATTAAATTAATTTTTTAATATTAATTTTTAAAATTTTAAAATGCTAGTATGAATGGTTGCATAGCCTAAAATAGTTTTGTAAATGAAAGTATATGTTTACAACCATCAGTTGTAAAAATAAACAGAACACAAGGACTTTAATAGACACCGTAATGAACCAATACGATATATACATGCATCTGTTTTAAAGATAACTAAGTTTCACGAATACATAGATTATTTTAAAATTAATGGAGCAAAATTTAAGGGGTGTTAGAATATGTTGAAACAACCTTCTTTTGTCATAGAATGCAGATTGCATGTTAAGCAATATGGGATTGGAGGGAGATTTCTTTTTTCAAGATCCCTCTTTTACAGAGCAAAAATAGGTGACGATGTTGGCTTTCACCTTCATTTTACTCATTCATTTCAAGACACTAATGATGGTGCATGAATCATTAACATGGTGATTTATTTATGAATACTGCACAAATTAAGGTATGTCCACCTTAGTGAAAATAAGATTCATTAAAGACACATCATGATATTAAGTGTAGAGCTGAGAATCATTCTAAGATGATGATAGCAGAATCATGTAACGAAGTAGGACCAGTTTTTTTAGCCAAGAGTTATTTGGAAAAACTTTGAATTAAAAACATGGGAAATAAAAGCTATTAATTGAGAAAGGGAGCATGTCACAGTGGAATAGTTCACACAAACAAAATGCATAATAGAAAAGCAAAAATAAAACAGATATGGAAAGAATAATAATTATGCATCTGAAGAGCTCTGTTCTTTATATTTTTCTATGAAAGAACCTGCTGCATAGGTAAATGGAAAGTTCCTTTCAGTGCCAAATGACTTAACCTTCTGATTGACAAGAGTTTTTTGATTCTACTCGGGAAAACCTGCATTGAAACTGTGTTTAATAGCTACATTTGTATAATTACTTATTTTAATTTCTGTTTTCATAAACTTGCAATCATTTTACATCATTAAAGAAAGTAAGCAAACAAAATATTTTAAATTATAAACTAACATACAACAGGAGCCAAAAAAAAAAAAAAATATGACCGGATAAAGGTGGTCATGCCATTCAGGAGATTAATGTCTGATGATGCACTATATAATGAAAAGGGTTCATTTATTGTGTTTCATCATTGCGGAATATTTTTACCAATAGTTCTAACACATTCTCTGTACATGGAAACAGTCAGGTTATATTTGTGCTATAAATAATGTTGTGTTACATTTGTGAAAAATATATATGAATATTGTATTTTAGTGTAAATTTAAATTAATATTATGTTTTAAAACTAGTTTGTTTCATTAATAAGAAATCAGCCATCAGTACAATGAATGAAAGGATTTAAATTTGGCTGTCTTGTTGAGTAGAAATGTTAACTGCATTTCAGTATTAAATTTATTTATTCTCATGTTATGAAGTACTTGAAGCTCTGTTTGAAGCATTTGATAGAATTTATTCCATAAAATTTCTTATATTATCAATGCTATGCCAAAATCATGAATTTAATTTTTTTTTTTTTTTTTTTTTTTTTTTTTTTTTTTTTAGTATTTTTAGTTATTTCCTGTTATTGATTTTGAAGTTTTATTGCATGCTGAAAGTTTTTGTAACCTACTGCACCTAATCAATAGATGCCAGATATAATTCATCTCAGCTCATGTTAGGAGAACGGGATGCATGTTCAGTGATAATGAATATTTTAGAATCATTAAGTGATTTTTCTTAGAACTAAGTTTATGCTGAATATTTTTCTCAGAGCAGTGAGTTACTTAGCTGATTCTTTGTGTAACTACCAATGCTGTATTCTTTAATGATAAGAAAATATTTTAAAACTATGCGGAACTAATTTTATCATATTATTGGATAAGATAAATAACTTTAGTTTTAAAGAAGAAATTGCAAAAATATTTGCATGGTTTAGTTTCAAAACAATTCATTTCTTATGTCAGAATGAACAGTTATTATGTTAAACAAAGCACTGCATTGATCTAGAGTTATACTTGCTGTATTGTAACCCGAGTGAATACTGCAATTGTAATAAATCTGGGCTAATCTTTGGAATATGGTAACAGGTGGTTTGGCGACATTTTGGTAAGGCGATAAAGGTTACTAGCTAGGACTATAGCAGTGTGCATGAATAAAGTCAAGAGTGTGTGCAATGCCATTTTTGTGCAATTCTGGGATTTTTTTTAAGTGAAAATAGGTCGACATGTACATGGATGATACCGTGTATGTGCAGTTCTTAAAAACGTGGCAAGCAGTTTGGGATTCTGCACTTTCTCCCAATTTCGCATCTAATCTTCGTAATGATTAAGCACTTTTGTTCCATAAATGTTCTAGCGTAAGCATAATTCGGCTATCAGGATTGTTGGAAAAAATGTTGAGTAAAAGAACAACAACAAAAAAAAAATGCCTCTACTTCATGAAAACAAAATGGCGTCGAAACAAAAACTAGCAGGTTGCTGTAGCAGGGTTGGTCGCCAAAAAATCGCCAAGTTACCATAATCCAAAGATTAACCTAAATCTGTTACAGAAAATATCTATTGTTAATTTGTTTTTAAGATCTTTTCAGAAATATGTACTTTTATAAATATATTTAACTGTGCGGCACAGAAATTCCTGCCTCAGTTTAATGTAAAATTTAATGTTAAAACATTGAAAATGCAGTTAAGTTGTTGAACTGAATATGGTTTTAATTCTACTTTTGAATGTTTATCTTATATTGAAATAGTACTTTCTTTTTGCTGTGAAGTATTCTATTAGGTGTTATGCATTGGTTAATTTAGCATTATGCTTGTTGCACCATTTCTTTGAAATTACTTTTTGAAGTATATACTTGTCAATTTAAAATACTAGAAGTTTTATATGAAACATTGAGCCAGAATAGAAACTTAATATGAAATTGTTAAAAAAATGGGTACTTTTTCGTTTTGCCGGCACAGGCAATAAAGTCGCTAATAATGGTACAACTGATATGAAACAGAATATCCTTGCTGGTAACCTTTTATGCCTCATCTTCAAAACAATTTGCAGCCATTTCTTATCAGATTGCTTATTTCTTTCAATACTGGCATAACAATTACATAGAATTTTTACCAGATAGTTCAATTTTATGCCCTAAGGCTATTCGCGCAATTAAAATGCAATCAAACCGCTCACCCAAAGGCAAAAATATAGAAAAACTACAGTCAAGGCTTAAATTCATCAATTCTAATGAGAATGGACTAGCAAAGTACAGCATTTTACATAATTTCTGAATAAGCTATTCGTACTAATTGAAATAATTCTTGCATTTAAACTTGTATTCCAAATTAAAATTTAACTTGAAATTAATTGAGATTATTACTGACAGGATTAGATTTTTGTAGCGTAGTTTACATGAGATGAGATCACTTGGGGTCATGTGATATGAACCGGTGAATCTGGATGTTGAACCAAGAAAACATAGTAAATTTTTAAATTAATGTCTTTTTACAAATTTATTGTCTTTATTTTTGGCTTTTTACAAATTTATTGTCTTTATTTTTTTAAACGATATTAAAATATTTATGCCTTCAAAATAAAAAAATTCCTAGGACTAACATTTGTTAAAATTTTTTACATGTGTACAGTATGTTATCGCCAATAAAGTCTGCTTGGCGAGATTTGCGCTGGCGAAACGGAAAAGTACCAAAAAATGCTAGTTTAATTTTCAGTATTTAGGCTACAATTGGAAATTTTTTTAATTCCGTTTATTTAAAAACCCATAAGAGTGAAGCATTTTTGATTGATTAACTCTGAAATGCATAAGTTTTTCATGAATTGATAAAGCAGATACTTGATTTGAGTTATCTATTAAATATTTTTTGTTATGTAGTTGTATGATAAAAGGTTAAAAACAGCAGTGTCTTTTTAGAAATCTGTGTAAAATTATTTATACCATCTTAATATCTATAATAGTAGTTTTAATGTTTTGTTTTGATTCTTTCTTTTTTTTTTTTTTTTTTTTTTTTTTTTTTGGTAATAATAGTACTTTTATTTCAGTGTTGATGCTGCTGTGCGTTGTTTTAGTCTAGTAAGTACATTAATTAAATAAAATTACTTAATTCTTTTAAAATGAATTATAATTTTCTTCGATTTTTAGACCTTCTTTTAGTGGGATTTTAATTATCTCTTGTTCTTCTATTTAATTGATATTCAAAGCTGAACACTTATAAGTTTTATAGCATCAGAAAATCAAAATGCTTGACATTTAATTCTCTAAATCAAAATGGTTTTCACTTCTAGAAACAGGATTACATCCTTAGACTGCTTTGACCTTTTTTCTATATATTTATTGAAATTAAGGGCTGTAACCAATCCTTTAACATAAACTGTTGGACTAACTGTGACAACAAGGCTGCCCTCTGGTGAGTAACTAGAGAAGTACTTCAGTGAAAGCCAAGCATCCCACTTAATAAGTTATATCAGACTCATGCTCTGTAATTTTCTTAAAGTTAAATGTAATGTCTGTGTGTAACTTAAACCTGTTAATAAATACTTGTGAACTATATAAGACTCATATATGACCCTATCTAAAACAACCCCCACCAAAGTGACGCCTAATGTTAAGGTTTAGCTTTAAGAATTTTCCTTGGCTTGGCTTTTGCTCACTTTCTTTTTCAGAAACAGTACTTGCAGCCACACCCAATGGATATAAGTCCTAAAACTTTAGGAAAAGAGATACCTCGCCCGTCAGGTATGAATTTTTTTGTGAGTGTGTGCCACTCCAATACCTTATCAGCAACAAATAATTGTCGTTAATGATATGAGTTGTTTTGCATTTAAACACTAATATTTTATAATATGTTAACCCTTAATGGTGAAAATATTTAAATATGAAAACGTAAAAATACTTTACTGTGTTCTTAAAGTATATTTGTATATCTTTTATGAATATTGTATTATCTTGAAGTGATTAAGAAATTCTTTCATTTTGTTTACACATAATGAGTTCTCAAGAACTGCATAATCATAATATTCAGTTTTGCTTCGAAATGGTAAATGTGGTAAAACATAAAAAGGTATAATATATTCGAAGCGAGGCATCTTAAGAGTAACATTCTGTATTAGAAATTGTTATTATAATATGCTGAATGTATTCAATCTTATAAACATAGTTTCGATTTGAGCTTAACTTGACAAACCAGTGGCAATGACATGTTTTTGTGTGATGGTCATTTTAGATAGGGTCATTGAAGAGTCCTGTATAGTGTAACAAGTATTTATTAACAGGTTTAAGTTACACACAGACATTACATTTAACTTTAAGAAAAAGAGCATGAGTCTGATACAACTTATGGGACGCTTGGCTTTTACTGAAGTACTTCTCTGGCTGCTCACCAGAGGGCAGTCTTGTTGTCACAGTTAGTCCAACAGTTTATGTTAAAGGATTGGTTACAAAGCCATATATAAATATTAAGTTTTATCATTTATTAAATACCAAACAGATTACAATGTATTTTGTAGTTTTTATTTTGTTAGTGTCTAAAAATATATTAGTATCGTGCATTATCGCTGTTTTGCAATAAAAATTGTGGAAGTTACATATTGATTATTTCAGAATGTGTGTCAAAATATTACACATTTATAAGGAAAATTTAGCAAAGAGCAAAAAGGCAATTATGTACTTTTCCTTTATCCTGAAAAAATCATTACCACATTTGTGCCATCCATTCTGGTGAAAGTTTCAAGAGAAAAAAAAAATCAGTCTTTGTTTAGTTAGATAATGAATAGATGCAAGTTTTATGTATAACATAAAAAAATATAAAAGAAATTAAATCATCTGTCACAATATTTCACATTGCAATTTTTGCAACACATATCCTTTGTTAAAAACAGTAAACTGGCTTAATGAAGATTGATTAGGATTCTATATAGCGCAAGTGAAGTTATTATGAGCATGTTATGAAATAATGTTTATTTGTTATTGGAACTAAATAACACTGTTTAATGATAGTTTTTCTTTAATGAAAATGGTTTAAAATATATAATTATAGCTAAATATAAAATTACTGCTAAATATAAAATTACATTCAAATTCCATGCTCATGAGATTTATATTTTTTCATTTAGCTAAAAGTAAATGCTGTTGTACAAGATTTTTTTTTTTTTATGGGGGATACGGTTGATCTTAATTTAAGCTTCACTGATAAATGTTTAATAACAGCTGTTTCTCAATTTGTGGTCCTCCTAGATTTCCAAAAAGGCAAAAAGTAAAAGTCAAACTAACTACATATATACCAGTCGTCGTCAACCCTTAGAACTTCACAGACTACTACATGTATAATTTTATATTTGGCGGACTACTAATATGAATTATCTAGGGGGAAAAAACCTTAAAATCAGACCTTAAAAACAACATATTAATATGCAAAACAATGTTCAACTTTACAATACATGTAATTCTAATTTTCATTTGTTAATGTAATTTTCGAAACATTTGGTGTTCTGCAGCATGCCTTTATGGAAATTCAGGGTATGTCCCTGATTATGAGTAACATTTCAAACACTATTAACATCTCACTGATACACATATTTTGTTCACATTGAAAAATTATATGAAAAGTATAAAAGTCTTACCTTCTTATACATAAAGTTTCACATTTCCATATCACTGAAGAGGAATTTAATGAAAAGCAAGAACAAACCGGCAAGCACAAAGCAATATCAGTAAACTGAAAGTGTTATGCTGCCAATTTTTAATTATTGTAAACATAATAATCATCGCTTATTCCACAATGGTGCCATTGATCAACAGTTAGACCCAAAAAAAAATGAAACTTTTAGTGATGCAATTATAAACAAGAATGCAGATGGTTCTCATAAAAATCCATCAAGTTGCCTATTGACACCAAGAAAAACTGTGTTATTATTGACTTCAATAGCATATGTTTGTAATTCAAAAGGAAAGAGAATTCCATTATTGATAACAGCAGCATATCCATGGATACCAACTCTCCAATTCAATTGTTGCTACATACATTTGCAAAAATAGCTAAAAGTCACTAAATTCAGAAAGAATTTTGCTAAAAGTAGTAGCTAAAATTAAAAAGAGGTATAATCCATATTCCATTATAGGTTTTGTTACTCGTTATTTTTTAAACGGAATCTTCATTAAAATATAAATAATGTCCCAATTTTTCTCCGGACCATCAAAAAGTTTTTACAGACCACCGGTTGGCGAACGTTGATATATACCACACCGTAGGTGAAATTTTGAGAGTTCAGAAATTGCACATGACAATCATCTGTGATTTTTTTCTCCCGACTGATATTTTGTGAAATTTGTTACCAGTTATATACTTACAAACTTCTAACTCTAATCTTAGCAACAAAGAAGGAATTTAAACCATTCTAACTGATGCTTCTTATCAATAATTACAGAATGATTGTGATCCATCTCATCAACATTTATTGAATTTTTCAGCTAGTACGATAAAGAATAAATACAATAAATATTAAATACAAAACTGTGATAGCCTAGGATTATTAAAAAATATAAAATTGCTTCTCTTAATTTAATTAGTACCATAATAAATTTGAATAAATTTTAATTAATAATATTTTTTAAATATATGTGTTTTGGTAGTAATCTATCTTAAAAAAATAGCTATCGAAGGGTATAAGAGTGGAAAGTGCACAGAGCATTCTACTTTATAAAGTAGAATTTGAATTGCTTTCAAGAGAACACTTAGAAGTTCTGTTTTATAGTAATCAATATTACTATTTTTATAACTGAAGTATTTTATCACAATTTTAATAAATAAATTACTTTTTAGCATCCATTGTTATTTACTCTTTAGCATTCATTGTTATTATATGAATAATGGTTAACTTTGGAAAAATTGTATTTTTGATAATTTCAGGCCCGTCCACCAGGAATATACAAAGAGGATTATATTGAAGAGTTATTTAGAAGGTATGATGACATAAATGGTGTGATGCCTGCTCCTCCTCTTCCAGACTGGTGCAATGGTATGAAAGCATATAATTGTTTTAAATGTTAAGAATGAGAGCTAATAAAAGTTAAACTGAACAACAATATGTACTAGGAACCATATATTCTAGAAATGTGCAGATTCTGGCATATCTTGACTAGAATAAAGTAATCAATGTAGGTTAAGTTTTTTTTTTTTTTTTTTTTTTTTTAGTTCGAAGCATAATTTTTTTAATGTCTGTAATAGTAAACATGCTTCTTTGAAGGTGATTACCTGAAAATATATACATATCAGTGAAGTAGTGACCATTGATAATGTTCAGTACTTGTATTTTCTGAAATACAGTCCACTGTGATAGAAAGTCACTATGAGAGATTTGTTAATTATATTTATTGAAATACATGATGTGTTGCTGAAATTGTTTCCAATAAGTGGAGAAATAAAGCTAGTTATTAATATTACATGTTTGTTATGGGGAAAAAGTTGCTCTAATATTACATGCTTGTGACAAAAAAGTTGCTCTTATTTCATTCAGTTTCAGCTTCTCATTTGGACAGTTAATTAATTTTGAGGCATTTCATATCTCTGTAAATGTGATATATCTTCTATGAATAATTTTTTGTCTGATACTTTTCCTTTGTGAAAGTATTAATTTCTTTTCATGTCATGCAATATTAAAAATCCACATTATGAAATATATTCAAAAGATGAACCACTTAAAATTCTTCTGATGATTTTCCTTTTTTAAAGCATAAAGTGCAGCTGGGATAGAAATCCAAAAATTCTTTTACACATTATTTTTAAGCCTAGATAATAATTTTATGGGCTGTACAAGTTCTCTAAAACATACGGTAAAATATCAGTTATCTGTAAAGCTCAAGAAATGTTGAATGCTTGATACATGAAAATTCTGACCTTGGAAGTATATAAAAAAAGCAATACAGTAGAAAAGCTAACTGAGTAGAAGAAGTTTTTGTTCAAAAATAATAAAAAAAGTCCTTTTACTTGTGATCAGCTGGAATGTTGAAAGCCAACATTTAAAATTATGCAAGATTTCAGTTGAAAATGCATTTCAATTGTAAGAGGCAACATAAGCTTTAAACTCATAAAAGTGAAACATCTTATCTGATTATGGAATCCCATTGATCAAGTTAGTGGCAACTTGCAAACAAATGTGCACCGGTCATTTCAGCAAAAGTTGAAATAAGTAAATCTTTTTTTAGTCCAAAGGGATTTGAATCCCGAAGGACTATTAGTTTCGTTTTGGCATTTTGCGTCGGACTCATAAATGTCGGTTCACTTTTCAAACTGTTGCCACAAAATGTTAGAGTCCTGCATTATATTTGAAGAAATTAAATAATGAAAAATCTGCATAAATGTATGTATATTTCTCGTATTGTGATAAAACAACGGTACATAGAGTCATCGAATTTTGAATAACGTAATCCTCCAACGAATATGAGCATGTGGAAGACCAAATTTGAAATTTGAAATTTGTTTTATGATCGATTTCCTATTTTTTAAAACTTTGACGAATTTTTGATTAACAAACTCAAGGATTTCAAAGCGAGCAATGGCAACGTTGTGCAGAAAAAACATTTTTATCTCCAGCGCGTGAGTCTCTGTATCGGAAATTCTAAAGATATGCTCGTTTTAAAACTATTTTGCGATATTGCTGTTGCACTGGATCTTATGGTTTAAGTGCGAGGAACATGATATTTAATAAAGAAAGTAACATACAAAATGTTAAAAAACGCCCCTTTGGACGTAATTTAAAATCTGAAACATTTCAAGTTTTTTTTTTTTTTTTTTTCCTGTCTTTCTTTGTTCTTTTTCTTTTTCTTTTTTTTTTTTTTAAATCTAGTTAGGTAATCAACAAGTGCAAGTTACAGCTAGAGCGTACAAAAAAAAAAAAAAAAAAAAAAAAAAAAAACTTAAATATCTTATAATTATTCATGTTGCATCTTCGTTGTTCATCTGTTTTCAAATAAAGTTACATGTCATGCTCATACATACTTCTCATGATGTCAAGTTCTTATAACTTTGAAAATACTTCTGTATGTTCTGTTGTGTAGACGACAGGTTCCATATTTTAACATTATTTTCTTTTTTTTTTTTTTTTTTTTTTTTTTTTTTTTTTTTTAATGTGAGGGAAAAACAGTTAAATGTCTGTTAACTTATTTCCTTCTTTACAAAAATTAAAATGGCTTATCGACAATTACTCAGGTTTACGCCTGGCGAGCCTTATATTTGGTGGCTGGGGAGAAACTTTTCACTGCCGATGTTCCCTATATGATGTACTTTGGTGACATGTATATCGTACATGCTATATGGTGGTTTCCTTTGCTTAATTTTTCTGGCAGGAAAAAAAAAAAGTTTCTAAGTATTCTAATTGGCTGATTGCAGGCTTGTCGTGCTTTTACTGTATCGAGAAAGCATGATTATGTAATTATTAGACATTTTTAATGGTACAAAATCATCTTTGGCTGTACGGAGTGACATTAGTAAAATTAATTTCAACTATATTAACAAAATTTGGGAATATTTATAGTAAAATGGGTTATTTTAGGCATCATATTGTGAAACAGCGCATTGCATTGAAATGTGGAATTGTCCTATGTAGTCCAGGATATTTGATCACTTTTGATTAGACATTTGTTGGCTGATTTTGAAGTTTACTTTGGATATTGGTTAGTTGTTGACAGGTGTTAGTTTTAGTTGTTAAAATCTACATAGTTACATCATCTAATAAATTTTATGGAATTTGATCTCTGTGTTAAAGCAGATGATGTCATCTGTCATGTAAAATAGCTATTTTTTTATACTTTATGAATTGGTAATTTCAGAGCCTGAAGATGTAGATGATGATGGCAAAACTCTGAATGAAGCAGAAAAAGATAAATCAAATTACAGGCCTCCTTTGAAGAAACGAAAAGAGTTTCATAAAAAGGTAATATCTAAATTGTTTATCTGTATTTTATTTAGTGTAAATTTGACAAATTGAAAAAAAAAGTTTTTATTTATTTATTAATTAGTATTACTTTAATCTAGAATCCTGTTTTTATGGAAGGTGTACCTGGTGTAACACCTGTTACTGACCACAGCCTTTTAAATTCAATTCAACAAAAATGTCAGCACATGTGTGGTTGGAAAAAGTATGATAATAATATGCTTTAATAAAGTATTTTTCTATATTGAACTTCTGCAGTGCAAAAATTTTTTCTTCATATTATTTATTTTTATTTAACTTGTATTTAAGTATTATTTGCAACCACTATAATAGAAATTGCCATATTTTCACTGCACCAAACATTGACAACCATGTGCATAACAGGTTTTATGTTTTGATAAGCAGTACTGCCATTTTTGTTTACATCGTTTTTGTTGTATTCTAAATTCAAGTTTTTATGCTCAGATTATTATATTTTTTAATCATAAATTCAATTTTAAAAGTTCCTGAGGAATATTCATGCAGTGGAAGAAGGTGCACTATACAATTATTTTTTTTTTAAGGCTGGTGATTTTTGCATGGGACAACGTCTGATGCATTTCATTAAATGTTTTGCATAATGAATGAACAGTTTTTCAATACCTGTCATAACGTGTTCTCTTCTTTCTTCATTTGGATCAATATCCATTATAAAAGCAGACAGTGCCTGTGCCTTTTTTAAAATTTGTTTAATTCCTTGTGCATTGAAGTCCTATAGCTGCTGTTACCATTGGCTTGTGTTATAAGATCGTCTAGCTCTTCATTTTTCATTTCATGATCCTCATTTTGGATTATTATTTTTATTTCTCCTTCTACCATATCTGAAAATCTTTGCCACTTATTGCTTTTACATATTTTGTCTTTCTTGACTTCATTTTCAGTTGATGGAAATCCTTTGACAACTTCTGGCCAGAGCTGATACCTGCAAACATTCATTGTTGTTAAATTCACTTGTTCCCATGCGAGTTTAATGATTTCTCTGCAGTGTCTTAAAGTTCTTTCAAAATGCCATTAGTATCATGCTTACTTCTTTTATTGCTTTATTTGCAGAGATGTAAGCTTGTCTGACATAATAGGCTGTGGATTGTTTCATGATTCCTTGATCCATTAGTTGGATTAAAAACATCTACATTTGAATACAATGATGTGAAAGCTTTAGTATTGTGTCCTGAATGCAAGAAATTATTGAGAATTTTAAATGTCGGGTTTTGCTGTTTTAAGAAATGTTTCTTGAATGAATTTTAAAATTTTTATTGTTTATTTAAAGATGATTATTGCAATGTGACTGGTGCTTTCCAGTATGTGCAATATAATTGAAATTCTCAAATGAATTAGATGGAGAGAGTTATAATGCATGTGTGCAAAATCGTGTTTTGCATGTTCATATTCAGCCAAGGTTTATTTTGTGCAATAAAAATTTTTTTTTATAATTATAAATCATCATTCTTTTTCTTCTTTAACAAAATAAAATTGTACCAATGTGGTTGTGCTAATACTTAAGTACCTTTATATTTATTCGTAATGTTTTTCTGTATTAGAATAATGCAAAGAACTTGTGAAAACAGAAAGTAATTGTAACCATTTTTAGTTCTGGATTTCCTGGTTCTCAGCCTGTGTCCATGCATATCCGTAATCTAAAATTATTACACGAGAAACCATACAAAGTGAGCTGGAAGGCGGATGGTACAAGGTATGTTATCAATTTATGCTAGAGTTGATCTTTTTGCAAATATTAAATATTAGCAATTTAGGATTTTAGATCTGTCATGAAGACCAGTATTAAAACAGCATTTATTAATTAAATTTGTATAATTATTTTATTCTCTATTTTCATAAACTTAATTCATTAAGATGATAGTTACATTATTAAAGAAAGCAAAATATCTTAAATTATAAGCTAATATATGCCAACTAACAAAACTTCTCATGACCGGATAAAACCGGTCATGGTGCTCAGAGGGTTAATATTAAATATTATACATTTTCAACTATACAAGTCACACCATTTGATTTCAGTTTAAACAGTTGTGGGAGAGAGACACTGAATTTTAAAAAATGTTGAGGTTCACTGAATTCCTTACATTTCTAGGAATTAAAATAATTTTTACTTGTAAATTATGTAAAGGCTAAATGCCATAACATAGCAACTAAAAAAATTAGGCTCCTGTAAACACTTCTAGCATTAACCCCTTCGAGCCGGGTAGTGAAAACGTGCGCTTATCGCGGAGGCCAGCAGTGTCTTCCGCGAGCATCTCTCCAGGGCCGGGGGCTTTGCTGCTACTAAGCCTAAATCCATGAAATCTCCGAAGTATCAACACATTGTTTAATAATGCTCTATAGAGTATTTAAACAGCTTATGCTTTAAAGATATTTTTATATATATACTTTAATTACCTTATTTCTTGTTTAAATGCATATTTTACACATTTTATTTTAATTACTCACCATTTTATGACTTTTAACATTATACATTTGAAAACTAAATATATTACTAAAAATTCTCTTTTCGTATGAAAAATTTGAAAACAGGGAACTACACACAGTCCTACGTTACATTCCTTGAACTCGTAATAACTCATTTGCTGTTTTGGAGGATTTTTCCGGGAATGTGAACAAACGAAGCATCATCGTCTCATTTTCTTATCAGTCTCTTCTCAACAAAGTTTTGGAAAATGTCTTTCAGTTAATCTTTCAGAATCAATATCAGAATTTCAGAATCAATATCTGAAATATTTTGCATCATTTCTGCTATTTCATGCTCTGTTAAACATTTTCGACGATTCGACATTGAAACGGTAAAAACAGAAAGAATTCACGTCTAACAAGATCTAATTATTTTCTAGCATTAACCAATGCCTTATATCATAAATGCCTTATATTTATTTTCTAGCATTAACCAATGCCTTATATCATGAATGCCTTATATTTATTTTCTAGCATTAACCAATGCCTTATATCATGAATGGTAAACCGAAATACTCAACGCTTTAGCGCATATAAAACTTCTACTTACAATAAACAACTACCACGTGCGAATAAAGTGCGATTTAAAGAGACGTCATAAATCACGCCATTCGGAAACATTTAGTTCCCCGTTTGTTTATATAATCAAAAACACGTGTATCTGAGTCATGCTTCTCTCATTTCGAGTAGAAGGTCTAATGTACATGTATCTGAAACCATATGGACATACAGTGCCATCTTGTGGCAGAAATTATAGTTTGAAAAACGTTCCAAGGTACTGGCACAAATACGTGACATTCGGTAGTAAACGCAACAATGCTCTGGCACGCCTGCGTGTCGGCTGGTAGATAAGTGTGTTTGTTGCTGGCACGTATACGTGACAGTCGGCGCGAAGGGGTTAAAAAAACATGTTTCTAGTTTACCTGAGTAAATTATATCTTTCTGAAGTAATTGAATGATACCATCTTTTATAATGTTGTTGTACTAAATTGATGTGCTTATTAATAATCAGAAAATATAGTAAATCTTCCTTTAATTAATTAATCTTATTGTCGTAGAATAATTGTTGCCAACCATCACTGTAAACTGTGTTGCTGAGAGAACTTCAAAAAAAGGGGGGGAGAATTGAAAGTTAAGAGACAGGTGATAGAAATTATCAGACAACATGGTTACTTTTCTTCTCAATACACTTCTTACATAATTGCTGTGAAAGAGAACTATCATTAATACCTTGATTCCATCAGGAAAAGTATTTTTTATTTGTTCTTGGCAAACTAGACTTCTCAGAAATTTGTAAAGGATCCAAACATGCTGTGATCATAAGAAGACAGCGTCTTAACTGTAGAATTTGTGATATAAGGCATTGGTTTTTAAACTTTCTTGTTGTATGCACTCCTTTCACCCCTATTAGATGATCATTCTTCTCCCTTCCTTTCTAAAATTCGAAAAATACATACACATTTATTTAAATTAAGATAATGTTTTAGTGTGTTTTATAAATTAAACAATGAAAAGTACAGAAAACATATACCAAAACTTGAATAAAAGTTGTTTTTTAGATTCATAAACTAAAACTATAAATACTTAACAGGTAAATCTGTTGAATTCCTTCCTGGTTGAGAACCGTAAGTATAAGGTTTCAAATCACAGTATCTTTAGAGTGACAAAAATAGCTGTCTTGTCTACTTAGTGTAAACTCACTTATCAGTACCTAATATGGAATTTTAAGAGGTGCAACATTAGATACAGTTGTATTAAGATTTTCATAAAGTAGAATACTGGCTAACTAACAGATCTTCGACTCAATAATTAGAAATCTCAGCAGCTGTGCCACAGTGTTATTATTGTTTGATTGCAGTAAAGACTAGATGGATGAACCCTTTTATTTCTGATGTGACTAGCAGCTTTTCATAGTCATCACTAGCAAAGGCATATTGGAAATACATTGGCTTCCAAAAGTTAAGTACATAGTACAAACTAGCAATTTTCAAAAGCATAATTGAATTTGAGTGTGTGAAAATAGCTGTGGATGCAAATAGCAACATGCTAGTATCATATGTAATAGTCAATCATGATTCACTATCCAAACATATTCTAATTAGGAAGTTGTGGAAGACACCAGCATTCTGAAGGGTTTGAGGTGATGTATTGAAATGCTGATACAAAGTGTTTATGACTGTCATAAGATAATTTTTGCTGATATTCCACAAGTTTCTATGGCTAAAAGAAGACAGATGTCAGGTAACGAGCACTAGCATGAAGTTGGATGCATTGAAGCAAGATAGTCAACGATGTAGCTCTGTTCTTTGACATTGATCATTCGGTAATTTCTTGAATGTGGAAAGAAGTCAAAGAGTCGTTTGGAGTTTTGTGCCTTGCCAACCTAGGATTCCAGCTCCTTTTGAAGACTGGTATATTGCTGTAGTAGTCTAGTTTAATTTATGACTGACTTGTACAACTGTTACATCCATAGTTGCAGTGGCACTTTTTAAGACAATGTTTGCAAGTACTGTGAGCCGAAGGCTTCACCTGAAGAGGCTGTATACTCGAGTGCTAAATGCTTGTATTCCACTATCTATTCAGTCCAGAGGAGTAAGTTTAAAGTGGTGACATCAACAACTCAATCGGACTGTCTCAGATTGGCATAATATACTGTTCACAGATTTGCCCTGCCATCCAATGTTAAACCTGCTAGGATCTGAAGAGAACAAGGCATAAAGAATCAGACCCAAAACATTATGAATTCAGAGATGGCAGCATCATGGTATGGGCTGCAATTTCAATAGGGTGTTACACCTGGCTGTACATCTTTAAAGATGGTTCAACAATGGCTGCACGGTAAACCCCGCTGTAATGTAGAAAATGTACACTGCAACAGTTGATCTTCATTTCCTCATTATGGATAATAATGCCCATTCCCATCTAGCCAGCATAACTAATGAGTACTTGAAGAATGACAACATTTCTTGTATGGAGTGGCCACTGTATTTCCTCAACCTTAATCCTGCTGAAAATCCTTGGAATGCCGTCAGGCATGCTGTCTTTGTGCATTTACGTCCTCTAGCCAGTCTCAGATCAGTTGAAAACTGTCCAAATTGAGTACTGACCATTGCTAGCATCTGCAGTGTTTGATCACCTCATTGAAGACATGGAACCATTACGGTAAAGTTTTATGAAGGTCCAATTTAGCCACATAGCTTATTGGTGTTAAGTTTTGTTTGTTTTTAGCTTTAAACATCAATTTGTTATGACCTAAATGTGATGTTGTCACGGAATTTATAAAAATTAAATATTGTTTTCATTTTTGTTCAAAATGCTTTTTTCCCCCCATGCATAAACACATCTCTCCCTTTATGTGCAATCTTTTGTTAATCAAAGCTTTACTTTTCAAATTTAGTTGATTTTATTATTACATGCTTAATTTTTTGAATCCATTTTGTGTCAGTAAGTGTTTACTGGTTGTATAAAAGCAAGACTGGTTGAGTCTGAGAATGGTAACAGTCATCCAGAGGGACCATCATATGCAGTTCAATTTTAGTGCTTTTCAAGCTGTCACACCATGTAGCAGTGGTTTTCATATTTTGTTAACTGAACTCTTAGAACTATAAGGTTTTTTGAGGGAACTGCCATCCCAGCCTTAGAAAAATATATTTTAAAATACTATTTAAAGTAGATCATTATACTGTAGGTTCTTTAATGTAGAAACAATTAAAGAAAATATTATATTCTTATTAAAAATTTTAACATAAAATAAATGTCATTTACTCATTAATAGCATTAATGCATTTCATGTTCTGCATTTAATTTGTTTATATTTTGTTTTTGTTGCCATGTACATTGAAAGAGATTTTAACTTAAATATGTTATTCCAAATTCCATTAAAATGTTTATAGCTATGTGGAAACTTCTAAGTATTCTTCATGAATCTGCAACAAAAAATTTAGGTGCTGTTCTTGCTTAAATTTAGATTTTAATGCCAAATCTGTTGATATATTGATAAGTTGTTCCCATTCCTTTAGTGATAGGCCTTCTGATTTATTGTAGTACTTCAATGGATTTTTTATCCAATCATACTTTTCTAATCTAGGAAATATTCTCTTTAGTTTTCTTCTGTTGGAAAAGGTGCTTCGCTGTAAAATTTTTAGCACTGTAGTCTAAATGTAATTCATTTTCCATTATTAAACTGTTTTGCAAACCACTGCATGTCATTTTCTTTGACATATGTCATATATCACGTTTTTATTTTGATTCGCAGAACTCAGTTTGAAGACCACTGCCATTTAGTATCACTGCATTCTATAGTTTGGTAGTCATCAGCATTTGTTTTTTAAATTCAGCTGGACCATAGTATGACCATAGCTGACCATAGTATTTTAAAATTTTCCAGGGGAAATTTAATTTCAGCTGAAAATATCTTCTCATTCTCGTAAAAAAATCGGTGTAATCCTAATATAGAGTATCATGGATGTCAGAATGTATGTACATGTATATGGAGGCTATTCTAACATCCTAACACATGGGATTTGGCGACAATTTTCAAAATTGTGCCAAGGCTGTAGTGTATACTAGGATTGTACCACAGAAATTTTTTAAATACTTTTTTTTTTTTTTCTTGTTTGGCAAGTTTGCTGGCTTTTGAAGATTTCTTCCCTAATTTGGCAACAAAAATTAATCTCCAAAACATTCTCCAGCTTGGCAATATCATGCCAATTTAGCGAGATAGCCATTTACTAAATATTAAATAGACTTCCCTTTGTAATCTTATTTTTCCAGCAGAGCTTTGACTCTTTCAAGCATTTCATGCTACCTTATACAAAAGGTACTACAATTTCATATATAATTTCACTAAAAGTATTTACATATATACAAATTTTGTAACCATACATAATATAAAATTATTATGATGTACTTTTCTGGCATAGAAGAAAATAAATAAAGTGCTGCAGCAGGAATTTTAGAGTCATATTCAGTCACTCAATATTATTAATAATTTCTTTAAAATTGTATAAAAGTACGGTGTTTTACAGTGAGCCAATATGCTTAGTATTTTTGTATTTCTTAATGACAATAAATTGTTAACAAAAGTTCTTCTATTTGAAGAGCATTTCTTCTGCAACAGTTTCATTGTTATCTGTATAGTTATTTATTTCCCTCACTCAAATGCCTTCACCTAAAAATGGAGGAAAGAAACACATATGTAATTTAGATGATCACAAAAACCTTACTGAGGCATGGTAAAATATCATAAAATAAAATGAAAATTTAGGTTTCTGACATATAAATATTTTTAACAAGATCTGTTTAAAATTATTTATCTTGTGCTTTATTTTATATTTATATCTTATGTCTGTTTTTATTTTATATCTGTTTTATTGTGCTTTATTTTATTTATGGTTCTTTCTTATACACATTTTAACTAATATTTTCTGTTGTTAGGTACATGATGCTTATAGATAAGGAAGATAAGATCTATTTCATTGATCGGGATAACTGTGTCTTTAAAGTAGATGGTTTATGGTTTCCCCGTAGGAAAGAACCTGACAAGCACTTGTTTAATACACTTTTAGATGGGGTAATTTAAATTGTCTGCTTCTGCATTTCTGTCTAATTTTGTTTTACTCATTATTCTTATTATTTATACAAATGACAATTATGTCAGTAATTGCTTTAAGAAGTGGCTCCTGGCTTTGGCTATGCAAGCAGTAAATTTTTATAGAATGATAACATAGTTTTATTTCTATATAGAAGAAATCCGTTGTGTCTGTTTCATTAATTTGTGATTTATAATATTGCATATATATGTAACACATTGTCATTTCTGCTATAAACTATCACCACCATTGTAACGAATTTACATGTTTGCAATTTAAAATGAATTTTTAAACTTTATTTCAAATGAAAATAAAATTAAAATAAAAAAAAAAAAAAAAATAAGATCCCTTAAAGATTAGTTTCCTAGGCTTTTTATGTGAGTTTTCCTCCTCTTTTATATTGTTTGAGACATATAATGCAAGAAAAATATAAAATAACAACGTAATAAATAAATAGCACCTGATAGATTAAAAAAATAGGTCACAATAAATAGGCACCTTGTGATGAATAAGTTGAATAGCCACATTTTAGATCAATCCATTACTTTTCATTATGAAATAATAGTGTGTTCTGTATTAAGATAATGCAGATTTCCATTTATATATTCACTGTTTATATTCATCTCTATTTATATATTCACTGATCAAATATCAAGAATTCAAACTGTTACAAGGTATATGTTCTATAAATTTTTATTAATGTACATACGTGACAGGGGCCAACTTTAAAGATTTCGCCTCTGTGGGTCCTAAACTCTGCTGCCCGACACTTCTTAAATGAAAAACATTTTGCTTCTGGTATTAAATTCTGCCACCCAGTCCAGTGTCTTCCCTAAATTCTAGAAATGTGCCGTCTTTGAATTTTTCTGATTGTTGCACTGTAAAGTCTAAAAAATTTCTGCCCATAAATTCTGTGCTTTCGTGCTAAGCATTTTGTCCCCACAAAACAGCCATTTCAGTTATCTGATTTTTAAAGTATGGGGGAAGTTACAAAGCCATAAATTACTTATTCAGGTGCACCAAATAGTAATAAGTAATAAAATATACATGTAGTGCTTTAAAAGAAAGATCAATAAAAACTTTCTACATTTGATTTTCTCTTCAATACTCTTACATAGAGTAACTTTTCCAGGTATGTGTTTACTAATCATAAAATATGTTAATTTAATCTCATTAAAATAAAAATTTTGAAGAAGTGTCTTATGCTTAAGCATTTAATTTATGTAACAGAATGAACATGCTTATCAATATTGTCCCTGAGGATTATTCTCATGAGATTCTGTGCAAAGTATATTTCGCTGCTGTTTGTTTGGTTTTATTAGTAAATAATACTCTCATTGAAGGAAATGTAATTGTAACCATATAATATTTTCTGGCACTTGAAATTTCTGACAGAAGTTAATTTTTAGTACTTTATCTTCCTGATAAAAGGTTAAAAAAATTATTTTTTTAGTTATTGGGGTATTGTGTGGAACTAAATGTAAATGTTGGGCAAAATCTTGTAAGAGCAGGAATGACAACTCTAAAGATGTACATATCTTCATGAAAAAAAGGGTGGCTTTATGAAATTTAAAATAAATGTAATAAATGCAGAAATTTGGAGATAAAAAAGCATATAATAATTCCAGTTAACAACTATGCACTGATTCATTCTCAGTTACTGTCATCAGTATTTGTGTGATAAGACCATTGATCACTGGCAATTTGGTAAGGGTTCATATCCTTTGAATTGGATTGGATGCATGAGAATTTTACTATTTTCTCCATGTCTAACATAAGCATAAATAAATTTTCCTTTAAAAGTCCTCCACAAAGATTTATCTTTAATGAAATGGATAAACTTACTTTAAAGTACTTTGCTATGATTTAGCCATGTAACCTCTTGATATCATAAGTACATAAACTAAATACCTATTAGGAAAGGAATGCGTGAACTTTCGAACCAGTATCCACTCTATAAATCTTTCTTTACTGTGGCACAGTTTTCTGCTGCAGTGCCATTTGATGCTTCAGTAGCACTAAATTGCAATTTTATTTTGTAGTTTTCTGAACTAAGTCTTTCATAAGCATGCATGATATCTTGAAAGAATTTAGCAGTTGTTTAGAATATTTAGTACATGCTAAATCAAGTACTCTATATTGATAGAAAAATTCAGCACTTCAACATAACCCAAAAATCTCTGATGGAAAATCACTAGATTGATGTTCATTATTCCTGCTTATTCTCAGTGATGCACTTGTTCATATTTTTTACAACTAGCATTCTTTTTAACTGAAAAGTAACCCCCATCTATTGATGTAAAACTAATTTTCTTTTACATTTATAAATACATTGATTAACGTATCCATACAATAGTATTCATATTAATTATTAATTTTATTTTCATGACGTTCAAAAAGTGCCTTTGTAAATAAAGGCTTTGTGCTGGGTTTTGTCAGCATAAAAGGTTAAGAAAATTACAAACTGAAATAAAATTAGCACAAAAACATAAAATTAGAACATTCAATATTAGTATAATTTATATCAGATTCACTATATAAATAGTTCAATAACCTGAATCATATATTTTAAAGTGAATTTAAGTCAGTTTGAAGTTTTTTTAGAAATTATATTGTACATTTAATATTAATATAATCCAAATCAGAATCACTAAATAAATAGTTCAGAAACCTCAATCATGTATTTTAAAGTAAATTTAAGTCAGTTTAGAAATTATATTGATGCACAGCACCAAAGCTTCTGAGAATCTCCCATTTTTTCATATTTCAAGGTTGTTGTCTATGATTAGGTTTCAAGTACATCAGACATTGTTTTCCGTTATATATGTTTCTCTTAATTAATAAGATAAGACTTACTATTTACATAGTGTTAATGCATTAATTTTGAACTGCTGTTTTTTAATTTTAATTTTCTTATTTAGGAAATGATAATTGATAAAGTTGATGGGCATGATGTTCCAAGATACCTTGCATATGACATTGTGAAGTTCGAGGTTAGTTCTAATAAATTACCTGTAACAAAACTACTTTATATTGAAAAATATGTACGTTAAAACATTGTTCAACTGAACTTTACTGAACTAAAATCCTAAATCAACCCTGCGAAGTAAAACTAAATTGAATCAATAAGCCTGAAAACCAGTCTTTTCTTCTTTTCAAAAATAAATATGTATTCTGTAATGTCAAAAATTGATTAGAGAGAAATGTATTTACTTGCGTATTTTCTCTTATCTTTTTTAGAGTGAGGTTCTGAAAACTTTTTAAATAGTTACATAATTTTCTTTTTCCTCAAAACATTAAGTAAGCGAGGTCCCCTAAATTTTATAATAAATTCGTTCACATAGTGGTTGTTTTTGTCTTAACTAACTGATTTACTTGGGGATTTTGGATGCATAGGCTCTGAGTAATGAAATATTTATTATGAAGAGCTTTAAAAAATAGGAATATCTAATGCTGTTCATAGTTCTTGAAAATCATTGGACTGAAGACTGAACAGTGATGAAGACAGTAACAACAGTGATGTTGACAACAACCTGTAAGCTGTAGCAGACAACACAGATAGCAGTTGTAGCAGCATTGAGTCTTAGAAAATAGCTGTGACAGCAATAAGAACAGCTGAGATTCAAAACACAGGGAAGCAGTTCTTTTAAGTAAATAATATTGTCATGGTTACTGGTGGTTTATCCAATGAAGTCTTTTCAATTGTTATGTTTTTACTGTAACCCTTTCCTTCAGAAATTAAATTATTTATATAGTGTTTCTCTTTTGATTTTACTATGATCAAATTAGTCAAGAAAGGAGGAAAGTATGCTAGCAAATATTGTATGTGTGTGCAGAATTGTGAGCTGTGAAATCTTTGTTCTTGAGATGATACTGATTTTCAGTCATGGATTGTATAAATGAAATGTATTTCTTTAAGAAGAAATAAATTACCAAAAATTGAAGTGGCAAAAATTTCAGTAATTAATAAGAAGCAAGTATTACTTGTGAAGAGAATTTTTGATAGCCATTGATGATACTAGTGATACTTCATGAGAAATAGCTCTTTTTTGGAAGCCATTTAAAAGTTACTGAGTGCTGCCTACCTGAACCTATCTTAAAAATTAAACTTTTTAAAAATTATATAATATTATTTCCTTTGTGAAATTTGCATAAAAGTAACTTTAAAAGTTTATATTCTTTGTGTATTCCAGAATGAAATTATCAATATATATATATATATATGTACATGTGCAAAAAGTAGCTTAGGAAAACAAAACTAATCATGGATTACCCCTCTCTTCAGAAATGTTATCTGAAATTGCATAACCCAAATTAAATTTGAATAATATTCTGCTTCTGTAGATATATGTTATTAGTGGTTAGCATTGTTTGTTTCACTTAAAGAAACTCTCAGATCAATTAATAATCAGGATCCTAATGAAAAGCATGATCAAATCAGTGATTTGAGAAATCTTGTCATTAATTTTCTTATGTGGGTGTATAGTCCCTGTGGCAGTTACTGAAAGCTGCATTTTGAGGACTGAAGTGCCTTTTTAGACAAACAGGAGGCTATGCTATTACTGTTCATGTTAAACACGGGGTAAAATTTACTTTAAAGCAGGGATGTCAAACTCATAGGTACACTTGGGCCAAACAAACAAGGTTTAACTTTAGGCGGGCCGCAAAAAAAAAAGAAAAAGAAAAATATCAATATCCATAGAAACGTAGATTTATTTCGAATAATACAATAATAAACATATATATATATTTATATAGAAAAGAGCAAGAAAAATTTAATGTGTATGTCCTGATACTTGACATCTCTTCTCTGCTATTATCTTTCCTATTTCGGGAGAAATTTTGTTTGCAGTGATATCTTTCAACACTGACCCAAGGTGAGCATCATTAATACGGTTTCTAATATGAGACTTATTACCTTTCATGACTGAAAATAACTGCTTGCACTGATAAGTGCTACCAAACATGGAAATAATTTCATATGCGAATTTTCGAGTATTTTCAAACTTGGCTGGTAAATATTTGTAAAATTCAGGCACGCCCACTTCAATGAATTTTGCTTTCAAATTTGAGTTGCATTGAATCTCGATCACCTCCATTTGCATATGGATGGGTACTGAGTCAATAAAACAATGAACAAAACTATGATTGGAAAACTGAGACCATGAGTTCCGCCACATTCGGCTATCAGGGGATGTGTACAAGTTCTGAGTGCACGTGTCCCCCAAAAGCCGAAGGTAGCTGAACGCAAGCTACTCACACGCATTTGTAATTTAAGTAGTGTGTGTGTCAGCTCGCTGTGAGTAATCTAACAACACTGAATAAATTATCGTTAATTACTTAGCAGTAAACATTTCATTTTTTTTCTTCGATATGTTATTTTATTATTATAGTCTCAAAAAAGTGATGGGACACTTGTGCTTTACAAAAGGAAACTGCAATAAAATAAATTTAAAAAACATGTAAACTTTTTTGTGGGTGCGTTTCATACTTAAATTTAGTAACAATTATTACATAACATACATTTTTCTCAAAATATTAAAATATTAATTTAATAAAAAATACAATTGTTTAGAACGGAGCAGAAAATGGCTCACATAAAGTGATGGGACACTTACTTTTCCATCAAATATTTATCCAAAAAATTTTACTTTTTAAAAGGTTTTAATATTTGTTGGATTTCCTTTTACTTTTAAAACATGATTTAATCTTCTTGGGATGGATTCGACTAATTTTTTTGTGATTTCTGGAGTAAATTTTACCCCATTCTTCTTGAAGCACCGATTTTTAATTGTTTGTTTTGAAGAAATGGTGTGTTTGCGAATTCTTGATTCCGATTCTTGCCAAATATTCTCTATGGGATTTAATTGTGGAGATTGTGAGGGTGTTTTTATTATTTCAGGACAGCAGCCAGAGTCTAACGTTCAAAGCACTGTGCTTGGGGTCATTGTCCTGGTAGAATTTAAAATGGTTATGAAGGTTCAATTTTCGTGCTGAAGATTTCAAATTTTGATTTAAAATGTCAATATACTTGTACTGATCCATTATACTGTCAATAAAAACAAGCTTACCAACTCCAGCGGACGACATACACCCCCATACCATAACTCCTCATCCACCATGTTTTACTGTTGGCACCAAGTTCTGTTTGCGAAATTCTTCCCTGGGTTTTCTGCACACCAAGATTCTACCGTCAGAACCAAATATATTAAATTTACTCTCATCAGCAAATATAACTTCATTCCAGCAATCAGAATTCTTATTTATGTTGGATTTTGTGAAAGCCAGTCTGAGTTTTCTATTCTTTTCACTTACGAAGAATTTTTTCCTGGCTGCTCTACCGTGATATCCAGTAGATCGAATTACTCTTCTAATAGTCCCAGAATTAACAATTACTCCATATATGCTGGTAAATCAGCAGCAACTTTAGGAGCACTCATTCTTGGATTTTTTTTAAATATTTCGAACGATAATTCGCTTATTCCATTGGATAGCTTTTGATGGGTCGGCCAGGTCTTCTTTTTATCCTGAATCATATGATTCTTTTTATATCATTTAATGATATTGAAAACTGTTGAATGACTGAAGTTAACTGTTTCAGTAGTTTCTCTAATAGATTTTCCATGTTCAATATGCAAATTAATAACTAATTTTCGAATTCCAGGCAAAGTTTCTTTTCGTTTTCATAGCTGCACAGAGCTAAAAAACACAAAAATTCCAAAATAAACTGGAGAGAAATACTGCAGACGATTTTATAAATTATAGCAATTGCTTTTGAGTAAAAATAAATAACCCAAAAGATATTTTTATTGCTTACTTCAGACGATTTTTGTTGCATAGTACGTAGTGTCCCATCACTTAAGTGAGCCATTTTCTGCTCCGTTCTAAACAATTGTATTTTTATTAAATTAATATTTTAATATTTTGAGAAAATGTATGTTATGTAATAATTGTTACTAAATTTAAGTATGAAACACACCCACAAAAAATTTTACATGTTTTTTAAATTTATTTTATTGCAGTTTCCTTTTGTAAAGCACAAGTGTCCCATCACTGTTTTTGAAACACTGTATATTATTATTTGCCGATATATTGGCTGGGCCGCAAAAATATTTGTTGTGGGCCGCGAGTTTGACATCCTTGCTTTAAAGCATTGCTAAATTAGTGATAAATTTTTAATATACAAGATTAATCTGCAGGTTTTCATTCTTTTGTTGTGCTGTTATCATCATGTTTGGCATGCTTTATCAGCAAGGACCTTTGTAATAAAATTAAAAAAAAGGAAACATTAATTAAAAACTGAAAGAATAATGCTTCAGCTAACATTATAACTCCTAAAGGTTTCCTACTTTGAAGCAATTCATTATTAGGACTGTAATTAATGAAATCCTTAGATTTCATGGCATAGATAATTATTATGTCTTTCATATTTTGGTCAGCTAGTGTAGGATAATATGATACTTTCATACATTTTATGGCATATGTTTGTTATTGTGGCTTAGAAGAAGTTAGTGAAGGAAAAGGTTCATGTACCAGGGAATAAGTATAATTTGAAACATCTCATCGTGTAGCTATGTTTGCTGTTTACAATAGGTGATGTAATTGTAGAAAGGTGTAAAAGATGATACAAATTTCAATTTAAAAATCTTATAGACAGACAGCTCCTGATTAAATAAAAGATGGTGCAAAGAAGAACATCTAGATTTATGTAGTTTTGTGATAACAGTTTTAAAGGATAATATGAATTTTAGTTAAGACATGCATCAGATTTACATAATACCCCTCCGTGTAGTATATAATCTTCAGAATCTTGTTCACATATCAATAATAATTTAAGAAGTAAAGCAGAAAAGAAAATTTTCATAAAAAATATTCCTTCTGGCCATAACGAAGAAAAAATTTTATTCGTATAATGCTGCATTATAAAATTTAAAAGCCTTTAACAAAATTTCATATGATGTGTTAAGAGTATAGTTAAAAACTTTATTGTTATTATTTGCTATATTTTTCAAGTTTCTTTTAATTCAGAAATTAGCTTTTTCATAATTAATGCCCTTCACAAGGGGAAAAAAACATTTTGGGGGTTTTGATAAATAATTTGTAAAAATTTAGTCCTAAAACTGCAGTTTTATTGTATACCTTTTTAGGGTATTGATGTTGGGAAAACAGACTTTGATCGACGATTGCTGTGCATTAATAAAGAGATCATCTATCCACGCAGGCAAGCAATGACTGAAGGAAGAATTGATCGTATGAAAGAACCTTTCAGCGTGAGAGCAAAAGATTTCTGGGATATTACCTCAGCAAGACAGGTAATTAGGGCAAACTTATTATTTATTTTACTGAGTTACTTATTAATGTACTTTAATAATATCTAAAATGGCAACCTGGAAAAAAGTCAGTAAGTATAATCAATTGTCTGTAAACACTGATAAAACTCTCTAGTAAAGCTTTTTTAATTCACTTTCTGAAATGAATAAAAAATGTATTTTAATTATCATGCACGTAATTAATTTATCTAATTAAGATGGATTATGGTCACTTCTAATAAAACTCAGCTATTTCTGTTATATTTTCAAGTAAAATATGTCCTTTTTTGGGGGGGGGTCTTTGGGAAAGAGTCCTTTTTTGGGGGGAAGGCGAAATTTTTATGTATTTCATTTTATTATGTATGATGGATTATCTTATTTTTATGCTCTCTAGTCACCTTGAACTAAAAGGAGTAAGCTTTGTAGACAAACTTTATTCATGTTCTAAAAATATGAAATATTATATAACAAAAAAGTGCCTGCAGCACAGTGCAGCTAAGAAAAGTATTCCATATCAAAAGAATAAACATTAAAAAAAAATAATGTTGTTCAAAAACAGTTACCTTATACAAAGGAATCAAGGTTTTTTGATATAATGTACTTAAGCATCCCTCAACCATCAGCAAGCTAGTACACTGGTTTTGTTGAAGAGGACATACATGCCAATTAATCATCAAAATATTATTGCATTATATTACTATGTTTTTGTATTAAAATTTCTATTTTATTAAATATGTGTATCCACAATAAGAACTTCTTATTCAATTAATCATAAATTGAGTATTATATTTCCACATAAAATTTCATAGATCAATCTGTATTATAATGGAAATATTTTCATTAACAAAAATTTGAACAACTTTTGTTGAACATTTGTTTACTTTGTAAAAATATTTGAACATTTACTTTGTGGAACTATTTTCGTCAAGAGACTACAAAAATTTACATTGGACTTTTTAACAACTTGAGGACTTTAAAAATTATAGTTATGTTAATTTGTTTAGTTTCATTTAGAAATTATATTGTTATTGTAATAGTTTTAAATTATATATTTAAGTATTTCATAATCTGTATGTGAGAAGGGTCATGAACAATGATGGGGCACAGGAAAACCTACAGGCTATGTTCTTGATGCTTCCTCTTGTCTTCCCTCATATGGCAAACTTTTTCTTCCCTAATATACTAATGCTTTTTCTTCAATCATGCTCTCCCAACCTTTCTTTGAAGGGGGGATATGTAAGATATAAGAATAATAAATAATAATAAAATAATAATGTTCTAAAAACATGAAATATTTTTATAACAGAAAAGTGCCTGCAACACAATGTGGCTAAGAAAACTATTCCATATCAAAAGAATAAACATAAAATGTAAATGAATAATATTGTTGCCATTCACACAAATTCAGTAGTAAAACATGTTGCCAGTAACAAGATTATCATATATTAATGATAACATAGAATTAAATACTGAGAAATCTGTATGTGAGAGGCCTAAAAAAATTGCAAATATTGAATCCTTATCTAAACATTCTCATTAGATTCACTCTGAGTTTTGTGAATTTTCCATGTAACTCTATTTACATGTTGTTAATATCAAAAAGGGAGTTTGTCTGTATAATTTTGATATTTATATATCCTTTCAGTGCATTAATACACACAAATTGTAGCTATTATAATTTTAATATTTTAGTTTATTTGCTTTTTAAAAAATAAGCTGCATGGTTTGAAAATATGTATCATATTTTCAAATATGATTTGTCTTTTTGTCTTAGCCACTGATGTGTGTATTTGCAGAAGGTCATTTTAGCTGTACTAAGTCTGTTCTGAAAGAATTCCTAATTATTATTACCTCACTATTAAAGAATTCATTCTGTTATTTAATGTAGTCTTTAATCTTATAGTGAAATTTCTCTGCTGAACATGCCCAAAATTTCTAGTATTAAGTTTCTTTTTGCTAGTCAGTTGAAAAGGTATATTTGTGTGAAGGTTAAAGGTATATTTGTGTGAAGGTTAAACTATGGAATAAAGAAGAATTCATTTTGATGTAAGCTGTTTCTTCACTAATGGTGCTGTTGGAATTTTTTTTTATTGGAGGGGGGAGTAAAAATAATCTATCAAACAAATCATTTTTAATAATCATATATTTCATTTTCTGGTATCCAAAATATTTTACGTACATAGACTAATTTTTACTTTTATCGAAGAGTAACCATGTTGTCCCTTAGATTTCAACTATCTTCACCTCTTGTTTAGTAAATGCTGAAAAGTTGCTTAATTTTACAGTTATTAAACATATATTTTTCTCCCAGAAAATGTTCATATGAAAAATTATGTTAGGAACATTTTTGTGACCTTCTTTAATAACTTATATATTTTACTTATCTTCTGGTTTATCCAGTTGTATATTATATACATTTTAGAGATTTTAATAAGCATTGATTTGGCAGGGGATTCTGTATGACTGAACAACAACATTATTTTACATTTATAGAAAAGATTTTTTTAAGATTCTCTCAAAATTCTTAAAACTTTTCTGTTTTAAAGCTAAAATCAGTGCTAACTTGGGGCTTAAAATTGCCTAGTTTTAAATTTGCATATTGTTTATTGTTTAAAAATGAAATTGGTTTAAACATATTTTAAAACTTGAGTTTGGAACTTAAATTATTTAAATAGATAGAATTTAAATAATTGCTAATATATATTTAATTTTATTACAGATTCTAGGAGAGAAATTTAAAAAAGATATGTCTCATGAAGTTGATGGTCTGATTTTTCAACCTGTGCCTGATGTAAGAAGTCCTTTATGTATATTCTGTATGTGTATATACTTTTAATAGGGAGAAAAGAAAAATAATAGCTATGAGAAAGCTTTTAGATAATAATCTCAGATTAAATATAACTAAACATTAATATAGTACAAAGTTTGAGATCAGGATTTCAGCGATTTCAGATTTGGGATTTTTCCGGATATTAGATCATCAGTTTAAATCTCCTCAGATGACATGTAAAAATTATAAAATTAAAAATATGAATTGTTGATTTATGAAATAATGAAGCATTTATGATCTAAAGGGTATCAAATTGTACAAAAAAAATAATATTTATTTACTTTATTATACTTAATGTTTATTTATTTTATTAAACATTTATTCAGTGTAAGCTGTTTAAGTTGCTTTGTTTTTTGTACTAATACTTTCTCTTTAATTCTATAGATAGATCTAATTTCTTATTCAAGGTCCTATGATTGCTGTGTTGAGAATTCCGACTAACTTGCCATTTGGAATTTTTTTCGTTTTCAATAATCTCTCTGTCACTTTCTTCACTACTGGTACTGGTATTTTCCGGATCTAGGACCAAACTATAGATTTTGCCATCCGTTGATTGATTGATTGATGACTGCGGCATAGTTATCACAATGAAAAACTTCAGTTATGTCATCTTCATTTATTACCACTTCTTCACATTTCTGTACAAAATCCATTGATTGGAAAATTTCACATTTTTATTTGCAATATTCGAAAACCTTCAAATTCGCAGCTATCGTCTTCACCAGCCTTACCATAAAATATGATAGCTGGCCAGTAAATTTTCCCAACCATTTTTTAAAGTATCTGGAGACACATTCTCCTACTGTCTTGCAATGCTCCACACAACAGATTTTATGCTAAAATATTTCAAAAATTCTTGAATAGTCTTGCCATTATTCAAGAAATTTAACATGGCATCTAAAAATGCTACTTTATATTTGCATTTTGCAGCTTGTGCACTATTCCAATATTTGTAAACTTAATAATGGGCATTCGATTTGGAGGAAAAAGTAGTGCGGATACATAATCTTTCGCTAAAACTTTTTTAAGTATGAGCCGTGTGCTACAATCGGCAAAATTTTTGCATCATCAGGTAAACCAACAAATTCAAATATTTCCGAGCCTCGGGCATGAAATGATTTTCAAAGCAATCATTCTTTAATGCTTGTGTCATCCATGCTGTTTTATTTTCCCGATATAAAACAGAAAAAATCTTTACCCCTTTAAATGCTTGAAGTCATATAATTTTTCCGATTGCGAAAGGCTTACACTTGTGCATTGCTGTAGCATTTGCGCATGCTAAAATTTTTAGTTTCGCTTTGAAATCTTTGACACCAGCTTTTCATCATTAGTGAATTTAATAAATTCATTTGCAAACTGTTCAGCAGCTTCAGTATCAGCTATCATCACATTGGCGACTGAAGGAACTGTTTCACTAAATTTTGTCTTGCTTCTATCGCACGCTGAGATAATTAAGCCTGAATAGTATTTATTTATTATACTTACGTTTGTTAGGCGTATCGTAGTCCTGAATATATAAATTTCCATGTATACATATGGCTAATCAAGGGTAGGTGCTTTACATCTTACCGTCTGATTCTCTAAATTCCAAAATTTTTGTCTTCCATAAATTCTGTCTCCCGGTGCGGCTATACGAGCTCTGGCGCTGGATCTGGGTTTATGTGAATAACAGATCAGTTGTTCTTAATTTAAATAGCACTAAATGTAATCTTTTGGCCTATGAGTATCATTAATAAAATCTATTTTTAGCATACGGGAAGAATTTTTTTAAAAATTTTACCTCATCAACTTTCTTAGTGCATTTAGCTTAAATCTGTAATCATCACCAGGGGTAATGTAATGTCAACAGAAAAGATTACCATACTCTTTGTTATTCAATTAAAAATTGTTTACACATCACTGCATGAGTGATTACACAAGTTGTCATGCGTTGAAAGCCAAATATAATAAATAATGATTTGCCATGTTGACTTCGGGATATAAAATACTAGTTGGTGTAAAATGTGTTTTTTTTGTGAACGATGTTTCTATGTAGAATGTTTTGGTTTGAGATTTATGCCAAGCAAATACGCAGCTACGGAGTGAAATTATCGATCACACAAATTTATTCTAAAATGATTGTTTCTTCAGTAACAAGGTATTTTATATAGTGGCAAAGTGAATTAAGAATAGGGACTCTCCACATGTTTTATTATGGTGAGAAAAATCAAATGCCTGTGCATAAAGCATACAAAAGTAACAAAACAAAAAAACGGTTGTTGGTGGCTTTGAGGTCCAGATTTTAGATCATTCTGGATATTGGAAATCTGGATCTATGACTTTGTACTGTATGTCAAAAATAACCCTACTTTTGTACAGGATTTATGCAGTCCTTAAGAGTCTTTAGGTTTTTTGCAATCGATTTTTGCTGCAGAAGGTCCTTAAATTCAAAAACCTAATCTTCTGAAATTTCTATCTCTTTTTACGACTGCCATTTTGAGTATGAATTAGCATTTTGGAGGAATATTTTTGCCAATTCACTGACAAATATGTATTTTAAAGATTATTGTTTGAATTTGTTCCTGTTTCTAATGTTAACGGTGCAATACTCGAGTTTCTGGGCAAGAAGTGAAGCATAAGCATTTTGAAATTCTTTCTTTCTTCTCTTAAACAACCTTTCTCGTTTAGGGATGTGAATTCTTTTATTAAATGGCTCTAAATTTAGAGACTTAATCAACATGTTGGTAATTTTAAGATTAATTTGTATACAAAATCTTTTAATTCTGACATTTGGGAATTTTTCGACAATTTTTTAAAAATATTATAACATTGATAAATTTCATTAAAGTAATGGTAATATATTAAAATTATTTTAGAAATAACATTAAAATTTTTATTTTCATTTTTCCTTGTTGTATTATTAAGTGATATTCCTTATTTTTTCATGGTTAAAGTTTTTCCCCATGTAATTGTCTCAGAATATTCAGAATTCTCAAAATGTGCATCAGTTTTCTCTATAAAATTAATTTTGCACTTTTCTCAGAATTTTTTTTTTTTAAATATTACTGGCTTTTTGCCATTACGGAAATGGTAGGGATAATTTTTCTTTCGGATTTTAGAGATTGCACCTTGGAAAGTTTAGAAAGATTTGAAGGCAAGATTTATAGATCTAATATTCCAGAAAAATGTGACAAAATGAAAACTGTTTTCATGGTATTAACACTTAATGGATGTATTTAACAGGAAGTTTGTGATGAATTTCTTACTTTTTAGAAAATTTTTCGAAGAATAATCAAAACATAATTATTTGAATTTTCTGCTTCTGATTCTAAAAGTCTTTCTCTTAACATGTTTATCTTCCCTCTATTTACTCCTTCTTTTCACTAGACTCAAGCAGGTAAAATATCAAAAATACTTCTAATCTTGTCACATGGATAAACATCTGCAGAAAGAAATTTTTTCGATTAGTAAAGAAATTGAAAACTGACAATTTAAAAGTTTCATCTTATATAGCTCAATGCATCATACAGGGTGTGAATCAGAAGTTTCAAGACTGGTTCGTTTCTGAGTAGGAGAGCGCACGCGGACCATTTCCGCTAGGTGATAGGGGTCTCAGGGAACGATCTGATGCTGCGGCAGTTGCCTCTGGAACCCTGGAGAGTGCGCATCGCTTGCAGCGTGAGTGCATGTCATTGACCTCGGTCGAAAAGTGGGAGAGGCGAAAATGGAGCAGCAATTGGAGCAACATTATGCGATTAAGTTTTGTGTGCGACTGAACAAAACTGCCACATAGACTCTCGGTATGATTCAAGAGGCCTATAAGTAAGAAGTCGTGTCCCATGCAATGGTTTTCATGTGGTACAAACATTTCAAAGATGGTCGTGGGAATGTTGAAGACGACGACCGCTCTGGGAGGTCATCATCAATTTGAACGGTTCAAAATGTGCAGAGAGTGTGGGAACTTGTAAACAATGACTGTCGTCTTAGTACTAGATTAATTGCGGATGAGCTGGGACTCAGTCAGAGTATGGTGTGGAGGATTGTGATGGAGAATTTGATGATGCGAAAAGTGTGTGCCAAACTGGTGCCAAAAGTTTGGTCGGTGGATCAAAAGAAATGGCACATGACTGTTTGCCAGGAAATGCTCCAACAGTTGAATGTTGATCCAAACTGGAGAAAGTGATTATTGGTGATGAGAGCTGGGTCTACGAGTACGATCCTAACTTGAAGCATCGAAGCTCAGAATGGCACACTGCTTCCTCGCGGAAGCCCAAAAAAGCTTGCATGAGCAAGTCGCATGTGAAATGCATGCTTTTTTTTTTTTTTATGGTAAAGGAGTGATTCACAAGGAGTTTGTTGCTCGTGGACAGACTGTCACAGGTGACTTTTACGCTGGAGTGCTCCGCCGCTTGGGGGATCGAGTCTGTCAGGCAATCAAGGGCAATTGGATTCTCCACCATGACAACGTGCCCGCTCACACATTGCGCACCGCCACTGAAGTTTTGGTTGAGTTCAACATGACAAGTTCAGTACTGCCGCAGCCACCTTCCAGCCCTGACTTGGCTCCAAGTGATTTTTTCCTCTTCCCTCGAATCAAAACAGGCCTAAAAGGGAACAGATTCGACGCCATCCAGCAGGCTTCGATGAGAGCCCTTGACAGCATGACCCCACGAGGCCTTCCAGAAGGGCTATGAACAGTGGAAGATGCGCTGACAGCACTGTGTTGATGATAAAGGATCATATTTTAAAGAATTTTAGTTTGCTGTACTTAAATGTGCAATAAATTTATAGTTCTGATGTAAGTCTTGAAAGTTTTGAATCGCACCTTGTACACAGGACTAGCTCTAGGCATTTTCCCACCTGATGTAATATCTGTGGCTTCTGAATTCTGCTATCTAGTGCTGTCCTAAATTCTAAAAATGTTTGCCATGTCTAAATTTTGTTGCTCTGTGTATCACTAAATTCTAAAATTTCTGCCACAC